CGTAGATTGGCCTGAGTTTCCAAACACATCAGCATGGGATCAACTTCCACTGGTATCTTTTTATCATCTTCTTCCGGTTATCTCCATGCCTGCTACTTCGTATTGCCATCGTCTTCTTCTGCATATCTTTCTTTCTTGTTTTCTTGCTGACTTTTTCTCTTGCATTCGCCCTTTTTGCCGCCTTCCAGTGCTCAGAGAGACTTATTCGCTTCTCACCGGTTTCTCGTTCCCTGGAAAACTGCCCTTCTCCTCTCTTCTCTTAGTGTGATTTCTGCTCAGTCCTCTTTACTATTTCTGTTGTGATTTATGCTTCTCAATTCCACAGGTTGCTGCATTCTCATTGCCATCGGGGCTCCCTTCATGCTGCTCTTCGGCTCCTCTTGCAGCTCATGTGTAGGAGCTGTGGTCAGCATCGAAGCTGTGGACAGCTGTGCGCCGGTCTTCTCCTGCCAGACAGAGCTGTTCTTCCACCCCATCATCACGGCAGGGGGCACTCATGATCGTCACAAGGTCTCAGAGGGGAGAGCAGAAGAGTGGCCTCTGCCTGGCCCCCAAAATTGCCCGAAGGGGGCACAAGGGGAGAGAGAAATCGGGGCCAAGGAGCCCCCACCCACCAGTGGAGGGGAGTCATCTGAGTGGAAGGAGGGTGGTGGGAGCACGAGGAGAGAGCATGTTGGGGAAACAATTGTCATGTGGTCGACACCTCATCCTGCATCCGACAAGCAACCCCTGCATCCCCGATCCGCGGCACACCAACGTGTTGCCTCGTCCTCCCTCATGCATGCGCTGCAACGGTTACATTCCTCCTGCGCATGTGGCGGCAACTTGTGCCTTCGTGTGCTGACACCAGCCCATTCCTGTCGTGTCGCCTTGCCTACATCGATCGCTGTGTGACTGACTACGCCATACCCCGTACCAGTAAATGTGCTCACTGGTGTGGTGTGCTTGGGATGTACAGATTTTTTAGTAGTCCCCATTAGATCAAGTTGCTGAAGAGACATCCTTGCCATACACTAATTGTTGGTGGGTCAAAACTGCTCCCTCAACTCATAGGTGAACTAGTTATATAGGGGGAGTATGACTTGTCCATCTTCATCCTCCATCACAATTTGGCATATGTTGCTAAGTACATGTTAGTTAGCTAAATGTGCTTAATAATCCTTTAAATTATATAATTAAGATGTCAATTTGTATCTATGTTTATGGTTTATTTTATTAACAAATACATTTTGATATAAATTTTCAGAAAAACAAAGTTTTATGCATTTACTTTGATTTATTGATATTTATTTGAAAATAAAAGGTTAAATGTGATTGTGAGTTAAATTGGTTAAATATGAAATTTTAATATTAAAATTCCCAAGATGAGATCTTTTGTAAAAGAAATTTAATAATTGGAATTTTATTTAAACTTTAAGAAATTTTTTAAAATATGTTTTTCTGAGTTTTTGTGAATTTATGATGATAAAATAATAAAGGAGGATGGTGGGTTGGAAGTTAGGAGGTCAGGAGGCACATAAAGGCAACAGAAGCAGGTTGGAGAGTAGGAATAAGGTCAAGGGGGTTGTGACCAATAGAGTTCTGTGTTTAAAACTTTTTTATCTTATTTTATGTCTTTTTATTCTTTGGGTGACAAGCATTGATTAGAGAGATCTTATTTTCGAATTAAATTAATCTAAGTATTTTTTTCTTCAGGAAAGGAAAATATTTTTATTCAAGGTTATATGATTTAATTTAGATTTTATCTGATAATTAAAACTTTCTTAGATTTAAAGAACTTTGCTATGTGATGAACAACAAAGTCTGATAATAGTTTTAAAATTAATTTTTATGAAAAATTAATTATTTTAATTTACTCTTGATTAACAACTAATGTGTTTCTACATTCCAATTATTTTAATTTATTTTTTTATCTTAGTTTTAATTATTTCAAAACATTCTCTAAATTATTTCATCATTTACTCTTAGAAGTCATTCTATTGACAATCACACTTCACATCTTTTCATTTCATAATCACTAAATTATTTTTCGCTATTCTTGATTTAATCATCTCACCATTAAAACCTTCTTTCTAATTATCAAGAGCTAAATCAGAGAAATAAATTTATGAAAGTAATTGAGAAAGAAGAATATTGAACATTGAGGAGAATATTATCATTTCTCTCATCTTATTTCATTTTGTTCCTTTCTTTTAATTAGTATTTGTGTTTGAAAAATTAGAATTAATCAATATTAGTTTTCACCATCCTTGAGGATCAACCCTAAAATTGAAAAGTGATACATTATTCATGTTGTATAGTTATTATGTGGTACACTATTTGCAAAATCCACTAGGAAGGACATACTTGGAATACTTTAAAGATTTTTTCTTCCTTCTCTCATGGAATACATGTGATTAGTGTTGTAGAAAAATGAAATATTCCAAATCTCAAGGACATCATTGGGTGAGTGAATCCACATAATTGGGTGCAATTATCATTATGCAATCTATTGATCTTCTATGCAGTGTCCACCTCATCTACAAGTGTCTTCCATAAAGGAAGCCATCTCTTATTAATTTCTAAAGTAGCTTCAACTCATTATCAAATTCAGTGTAAATGTTTGTGACTATTTTACTGTTTTACTGCATTGCAAAATTCTTGGGCGACTTCTGCTCACATGGGGGGAATTGAAATTCTTAGACCTCATATTTCAGCACTATGCAAAATACAACAGAAAATTGAAACCCATGTGTTTTTAAAATCAAGCAATCTTATTTTTCATAGCTTTCATTCTGTTTGACTTTGAGTAATTCTAATTTTTCTTTAATATATCTGCATTCCACAATATATATTTATCTATTATTGTTCACAAGAAAGAACATACACTGAGCAGTCAATAGTTTCTTGAAATTTCGTGCTCATAACTTCTTCTCCCAAATTATCTACTAAACATTTCCTAGCATTGCATCTCTCTGCCCTTTCACGATCAACTTTCAATGTATCAATGCTAAAGAACATGTTGGCAATTTTTTCCATCCAGGTTGCCTGCCTATCTCTAAAATGGAGAAAAATGATTCTCACATTCTTCTCCCTATGTTTTGTGCTCCATTAAAATATTCTGCTGTGTTTTTTTTGTTGAGATATATTCTTGAAATTTATCCTGTTGATGTTCAAAAACTATTGCTTTAAGAATTTTTCTAGTTAAGTTTTTTAATTTGGGCCATAAATAGGTTTATGCATGTAAACTTTCAGATTCACTACAATAATGGTGAGCTAATAATTGAAGATTTTTTTTGTTATACATATTGCTGGCAAGCACAACCAAGATATTTCTAACTTTCTGTTCCCATAGTGGGATCAATAGAAAGCCATGAAGTTTATGGATGATAAATAAGTGATATACTGAAGGTACTTTTGAACTACTCATTTGAATTTACAGAACTTTCAATCACATGTTAATTACAAACAAGTATGTATGAGAAAAATTATAAAGTTTTGTAGAGAAATTAAAACCTGTAGATGGCATTCACAAGTTGTGCAAATAGGCATACTGATCTAGAGGAAAAAAATTCAGAGATGTGGGAACTCTATTTTCAAAATGCCCAAATTTGATGTCCACCAGATGGTGCCAGAGTTAAAGACATCATATTTCAGCGCTATGCAAAATATAATAGAAAATTGAAACCTAGTGTTGTTAAAATGAAGCTGCATCTTATTTTTCATAGCTTTGACATTCCACAATATATCTTTGTCTATTATTGTTCACAAGAAAGGAACATACACTCAACAAACAAAAAAAAATTGAGATTCAACCTAATTTTCCTTGGGTCTTGAAAATATTGGTTAAATCATAAATATATTTTGTTGTTTTTTTGGAATTGAATATTTGTTCCAATCACTATTTAAAATTTTTGGCTAAATCTGAAATAAACATGTATTAAAACTTTTTTACACTTTTTGATTAGTTAAGGAGTCTAATTGAAACATAGGTGAATCTCAAATAACTATTTTGTTGAGATTATTTCGAATTTTTCATTATTCTAGAACATAATGAAAATATTTGGTGAAAATTTTCATTGAAACCCAAGAACATAGCAAAACTTTAAAAAAGGTTTGACAAATATTTATTTAAACTTGTACCAAATTTTTTGTTGAGCCATGAGATAAATTGACTTTAAAAAAGATAATAATTTCTTCTCCCAAATTATCTACTAAACATTTCCTAACATTACATGTCACTCCCCTTTCCACAATCAACTTTTAACATATCAATGTTTAAGAACATGTTGACAATTTTTTCCATCTAATTCGCCTGCATCTCTAAAATGTTGACAAATCTTCCTCATGTGCATTAATGGGAGAGACAAGCTCCCTTCAATAGTCTCTCTCTCTCTCTCTCTCTCTCTCTCTTTCCTTAGGTTTAGAGTTCCAATTGACAAGATAGGGCAGTTGAAAATGAAATTACACAAGACTTTGTGAGAGAAATAATGACAACAAAAGAATTTGGATATAAAACTTCTAGAGAGGAGAGTGGCCATGCAACTTCTCACCTCCACAACATAGTCGCATCTTTCAACCACACCAAGAAATAATAGACCATCTTGTTCACCACCACTTCCAACTCTAGATCAGACAAGAACCCCAACCACTGATTATAATAAAATGAGTGCTCCCCCAATGCAATTGCTACCACCACCTCTGTGCAGTATGCAGATTCACAAGTTCTATCAATCTCTAGCATTCCACAACACAAGATATAAGATACAGGCTAGAGAGAGAGAAAAGAGACTATCTATGCTTGATATCAGAATGCCTAGAAGCTCCAAGAATAAACATGAACAAAATCTAGCCAATCTGGGGCTACTTGCTCATAATAACACCTCCTTAGCGGCTGGGTACTTGGCTAACATTCTGCACCACTCGGGATGATATGATATGATATGGTATGGTATGGTATGGTATGGTATTCATTTGACGCTTCAATGGAAGCCACAGGAATATGTGCATGAGGTGGTCAATCAATCAATTGGGTGCTTATCCGACTGGCGAGACGAGTAGTGAGCAGAGATCAAGAGGAGAGAGAGGAACGCGCTGGTCACGAACAGTGCGTCAAACCAACGATGGTAGAAGTCGAACTGTATGTCCCCACCTAGAACATCAGTGATGATGATCCTGCAAGAGCGAGCATTTTGGAAGAGTTGAAAATTATTAGAAAGAATGTCAACAAAGGGAATTGATCTTAATTGAATTTCATGAAATTAGGGCTTGCTTCAGAGGAGATTTTCAAAATAAATTTTGTTTCTACCACTCTATTCAGTAGACTATGTAAAAAGACATTCCAGGACAGTCTAGGATATTCAACATCAAAACAAAAAAAAGTGACCAAAGCCCAGACAAGTTATATGAATGATCCAAGGATGGGCCGGGCCACTATCTTGTTTGCCAATGAATTTATTGCGATCGAATGTAACATACCTGTATTCATTTGCCAAGCTTTTCCTTATTAAAAGAATAGAAGATACAAAGTACATGCCCATAATCTCCGAGAGGAAAAGCACAACATTAGTTGACGATCCACTTCCCACTCTGGACACGGCAAAGAAGAACTGCAAGCAAACAGGTACGTACACAAGGGGCACCACTCAGAAAGCTAGATATCCTATTTCCTACAAGCAGATATTTTCAACGATTTTTTCCATTCTTGGTACATTAATTTCTTATGGCAGTTTTATTCTTTTTACTGCCCAGCCTCACAATTTCATTTTTTTCAGCATAGCAAACAAAAACGATCTAGCATGAAAGTAAACTATCTCAAAGCACATTATTCACCTTCATGAGATTTGATAAGAACCCTCTGACGGACATGACAATCAACATTCCTATGAAGAACAAAGACACGTACTGAAAAACAGATTATTGAGTGAAACGTCAGTCTTTTTTGTCCAGAAAACATAATAAAGTTGAAAAAGGAAAGGCTGGCAGCCAATTAACAAGCTACAGTTTCGTTCTCATGTATTTCAGCTCAACATGCCACTTAACGTCACATCATGATTTAACCGCTCAAGTAAGTGCTCAGTCAAAACAACACGAGTTTTCTCGCACATAATATATAACCCAGAGGTCATGGTGCCTCTCCATTCAAATTTTGTTCCATCCACTGCATTTGAGTTCAAATGTTAGTGTTTTCATACTGCCATTCTTTTCTGTTGGATGCATGACACTTTAAATCCTGGGCACTATGAAAAGATCTTCACATGATTGGTGCTCTACACAAAGACCTGTGGTCACTGTCGACTCAAATATTTTAAAGCAACCCAAATCACGTCTAAATTATTTCACGATATGTCAGTTGTGGGTTTAATAGTTGCAAGTTGTTGCGAATGCCATTCATTCAAAGAAAGAAAGATCGAACAGGTTTAGAAGATATGGTAAACGTGATCTTAAGAGTACATAAAACGGGAGTGGGCGTCATTACGTCATTCCTATCTACTTTCCAGGTTATCTAGATACACAACCATCTGAACAAAAAGGGAAAAAAATGCTGAAGAAAACCAGGTGGTAACGCAAATTAATTTATAACATTTATCTCATCCTAACGGTAAAGGAAGATTGGAAAAAGTGTAAGCTTCGTGTAGACGAAAAAAACAATCATATCATGGACAGAATGACAGAACCTGAGACAAAATTGCCGGATTTAAGCCTATATCAAAGAACTGGAAGAAAATTGTGATCGTCATTGTAACAGGGTCAACTGAGCCAGCCTGCCAGAGAAGAAGAAATCATTACAAATCTTTGAATAGCCGTTTAAAAGTGATGCCTAAGATGATGCGTAAAAGTGCCCAATAAAACTGAAGCACAAAGACGAATCGAGTTTGATGTAATCATGTTACATAACAAGAGACTGGAGATGATAAATCCTCCGAGGGAACCATACCTCCTTAAAAACCACACTCTGTAAAGACTGTATCAAAAAGAGAAAGAAAACTGTGTCACATACTGGGGAACAAATATTAGCTTAAAAAAAAAAATCAAGAAAGGAACAGAACTAAATGGTTAATTATTCTAAGCCAGTATTAACATTGGATAAAACATTCTACTGACGTACTATCATGTAGCATCATAATTTTTCAGATTATCATCATTTTTTAGGCGCCCAAAGCTTCAATTCATCAGAGAAGACAAGCAGAAAGGAAGATAGTTTGTTAGTCTCAAACAAAGATGACTTGCTTTAGCAGTTATAATAGCAGGCATTTCAACAGGAAGTACCACAAACTTTGCACCATTATTAGTCTCCCCTCTTCTGATTTTCTACACCAGAAATTAATCTATCAGACTACCACCGCTTCAGCACAATTTCAAGCTATTAACAGCTAGAGAACCCCAGTGTTTCATTCCTTTGCCAACACAAGGTAGAAAATATAGAAGTTACCACGGCTTATGTCATGAATAATGTGTATATAACATCAATCAGCAACATAAGGAACATTGGTCATGGCCATTTGCTATGTTTCTAAGGACTGTTAGGTTCTTGTTGCATATGAAAAGGCTCATGAATTTTTTTGATGACATTACTGAACTTTTGAATGTTTATCTTTGACACTTTAGCCCATGGTCAACAAACTCAAGTGCAACATCACCATAAATGAACTCGAATGGAATGCCAAGCTAATCAAGGGAAGTCCTCTAGAGAGCATCAGAGGTCTTACAGTTTGACGGAGACCCTGCTCCTCTTCTACCCCTCTAACACAAATGTTAACGATGAAAAGCATAGAGGTTGAAATCCTTGTCAAAACAGAAGGGTCAACATCACAATGCAATCAGAGAAAGGTATGTGGATCGGCAAAGCATTATCTAGCATGTCAGAGCAGAGCTATCCAAAGCTCCAGTGACCATTTGGGGGCAGACTTGGTGAAGAAACATTTTTTAGCCAGAAACTCATCTAGAGACATTTTGAAAAAATTGGCAGGCGTCCTACATTTTTACGTCACTCACCAATTATTTGTAAGTTAGATAGTTCAAAACTTAGTGCAGAGTCTTTATCCATGGAAATATTTAAGGCAGTTAGAAATTTCAGCAATAGGATTCCAAAGCTTGGACATTTACAAAGGATGTCCACGTTTTAAGCAACTTGATGGTATTTATGAGCGTAAGCCAACCTCTCCAAGTAACAACAAGAAAAGACAACAAAGAAGTCTATGACACATGTACAAAACCATCCAACGGATATTCACTTTCCTAGTCAAGAACTACTGGGCATAATCAACAAACATGTTAAAGTAGAGAATATTCCAGTCTTCCACTGAAATAATACCTTTATCATCTTATACACACAGTAGATAGACAACGCATATCCTAGCAGATTCTGCAAGTGTCCCCTCCAGGTTCGAGAATAAACAGCAGCTTCCTGAAAATTATATTTAAAATAAAACTAATTCAGCGATAAGTAACAAAGTTTAGACAATTAGTCCAAAAAGAAAAGCCAAAAAAAAGGCATAAGATAATGCATCCCACCGCCTACCAGATAAAAATGGAAAAACATAGGAAAATAAAAAGGCTCATGCAATCAATGATAGAAAAAATGCTGGCTGCGACTGAAATCCTTCGCTGACCCAAAACCCAGAACCAAATTAATACATGTTCCAGCGTAGACCTGGATTGGAAAAAAAATTGGGGATCTGTAATAGGCAGAGGACAATACTCACGGAGTACTGGCCTTTTGTCCTGGTCAAGACAAGTCTGAGATCAGTCCGAAGAGAAACACACCCCAGTTAGAAAAGATCTCAGAACGAAAATCGAAACCATATGAAACAAGACTCCTATTCAATAATGTAATAGGGTGGATCAGGATCTCATGAGAAGTTTCTTTAGAATGGAAGCACCGATTCTTGACAAAGACAATTCTTCGTTTCAAGTTTTGCTCAATTTAAAAGTGAAATGCATTTAGGAATTCCCTGAATGACATGAATTATGCTCTGTCGCTTAGCATTAGGTAGGTCAATCCAAAAAGAAATCAAGACAGAGAAATGGCTATGATGTAAAATTAAAATAAGTCTAACCATTAGAACCAACTTGATGAGCAGTAAAACAGTAAAATAGCCACATAAATATTTACATTAAATTGCAACGCCCACAACTAGTGGATTGAGGCTAATCACGATTATGGATTGAAGCCACTTTGGAAATCAATAAGAGATCACTTCCATTGCAGGAAACACTTAAAGATGAGGTGGACAAAGCTAGAAGATTAATAGATTGCATGATGACAGTTGCATTCAGTTATGTGGATTCACCCACCCAATGCCCTTGAGTTTCGGCACACTAACAAACTGTAAACCAACTTCACCCACTAATGACAATGAGTTAGGACCCAAAGGATGAGTCAATGAAGCGCATGCATTGGTCAGGATGATCTAGTTAACAGCGACTATCAGAATCAAGAAATATTTTAATGGCTTCAGAAAAATTAATGCCACAAAGGATATCTAAATCAATGAAAAATCAAGAAAAAAGCAAACACACATAAAATCTCATTAAAACAAGTGATTATTGTTTTTATTTATGAAGCTCAGTTCCAGTGTAACCATCAACCTGATATTAAAACACACTTCTATTACACAATTTCCATATTTTCAAGAAATAATCTCTTTTCTATCAAGAATGTAAGTAAATTAATTGGATTTACAAAATATTCCAACTTGTATACTTTGCCAAAATAACAATATTAGCATTAGGTAAAGAAGAAAGTGATATGGACATTGCAAACCATGAAACTAAAAGAATTAATGAACATGTAGTGATGTTACCTTAGCTTCCCGCAGTTCATATATCTCAAGGAACAGCTGCTTTGAGAGCTCTTCCAATGCCTGAACCTCTGCTTCCATGGTTCTGATATCTTTATGAACAAAATAAACCACCATTTGAGCAGTGTGAGAAAGTAGTTTCCAAATAAGAAAGAAAGGCAGGCCAAAGACAGGCTATCCAAGCTACTAGAATAGAAAACTACAAAATAGAATACCACCTGACTGAAAATTTTCTGTGCCTAAATATGTTCTCTTCGATTTGGTATTTACAATTTTGGACAATATAAAGGATTCTTTGATATCTCGTAAGCATGTAACAATAAATGGAAACCCAACAAACGAGATTTATGTAGCAACCATTGAACTTCTTTAATTATAAACATCATGTCCACATGCATGAAAAAATAGAAAATGCAGAGATACAATGACGAGTACTAGGATAATCATACCCTGCTCTTTTTGATCATCCTGAATTGAGCGCACTACTGTTCCAATAATACGCTTAAAAAAGGATCTAGCCTTCAACTTCTGCAACATGTAGTTCACAAGCTCAGGTAGAAATGGTCATGATTGAAGCAAAATTTAACTGTTATATGTTCCAGAAACATTTCACATCTCTTTGAAAATAGCTGGAATTGATTTCCACATAGTAGCAATTATAACGTTAGTAAAATGTACCTCGAACAATGCTAGCCTAATGACTATTGATAAAAATTTCATAAGAAAAAATAAGACAGGAAACATACAAGAGGCAAAGACTAGAAAACAAATCAAAATATCCACTTTCTGCTAGGGCAGATACTTATGGGGAGAAAATGTCCATAAATATGAGCTTTCAAAAATTTTGGAAATGACCAGATTTGAATAGTCAATCAGGGCATGCAGTTACAAAAAAGCCAAAGAAAGCTTCGACAGTAACAATAGGCGCCAGTCATTATTAGAACCAATAAGATCCCATCATATCGTAATATTCCAAAGGACGTGATGTCAACACCCTCTCACCTTGGATAATTCGAAAATAGAACATAGCTTACATTAGCAATATGCTGATTGAGAATATAACCTCTTCCTAATCAACGTTGACAAGCAGACTTTAGGTTCTATAATGCACAGCAATCCAATCCAAATCCATCAGAAACGGTTCATGGAAGAATGGAATTGCTATATGTGATATTGGCATTAACTAATCTATGGAAAATTGGAGGGCAGAATACTGCATCTATAAATAATAGAAAATTCAATACCTCTTCCGAACCTTGAATTCGTTCTATCTCCATCTGGCTGAGTACTATCTTCTTTTTCTTTGCAATGCAAGTTTCTAACGATTGCATGAGCTGTCTCTCCAAGGCTTTGATATCTGATTCCTCAATCTCCCTACAACATTCCAAGAATCCCATTTAAGAAGAAATAAAAAAAGACAATAGATGAGCAGACATTTCACATTTTTCAATTGCTTTCTCAGAAAATACATGCTTTAAAATATAATAGCGAGTTCAATTAATTTGAACTTGGTTCCAGAGAGTAACAGATATCTTTGTTAATGACATTTGAGCGGCATTTTATTATGAGAAATTGAGTGAAATCAAATGTAGCTTAGCTTCTACTTATTCAGCTCTAAATGGTTGTAAAGTGTTTCTTTCAAATTCTTAGGAAAGGAAAACGACAGGAACATGTCAGAAAATCTCTATTTTTTGAAGTCCCAGCAGTTCTTGTCTTAAAAATAGAATTCAAAAGAAATAAGATTCCTTTGTAAGCAGTATGACCAGCTTAATTTAAGCATAATCTCTGTTTTGTACTGATTTATCAATATTCTTATATGTTATATTGTCAATAGAAGCCAGGCAATATTTGACAAGGAATCCTCTAGAGAAGTTATGTATATCCATCATACAACAAGTAGCCAAAGTCTTGATACCCCAATATTTCTCCCTATTCACGTTCTCAAGGAAGAAACCTTCGTCCTTAGGCATCTGACACATCTGTACCGTGTAAAGCAAAGTGATATAGACCCTACTTATTCCAAAGCAATGAGAATATCATATCAAGATACAGGCTACTATTAAAACAAGAGGCAACAAATATGTCACCTACACGGTGACATTCAGAGATTGCTATTTAGATCATGCATACTGAAACAAAGGTTGAAGGTGATTGCAAAATAAGTACACCCAAGTCATTGCTAGGAATTAAATTGCTTGAGTTCACCTGATGAAGAGTGACAAATAACTGTATGGCAAATTGACAGCTCCAAAGCCGGAAAGTATAGCCATGACGGTAACACCTATCACTCCAATTCTGCTAACCAACTGTGGCATTGTGAAAAAACCTGTCTAAAGCAAAGTATGTCAGAATAATATGAGCATGTGAAGTTAACAAATGACAAGAGCATAGAACGTACAACTAGATCAATAAATTACTCAGAAAAACTCCAATGAATAGCCATAGCATTATATTTTGAATCCTCAGGTGATTAGTGAATAATTGATCAAATTACCACCATATCACGTGACTATCTTAGTGTTTTTTTTTCTTCTGTGTGTGTGTAAGGTTCACATGTCTAGAACCTTCCATAAGAGGTTTGATATAAATACTAGACCTCTGTTGTGAATTGATGTAACAGAATCTTTCCCTCATTTTGAATAGAAGTTCCTTTCCCTCTCTCTACACGAGAAGGCCTTTCCTCGAGGTTCCAAAGGAATTGAAGAAAATTCGACAATTAGGAATTTTCGTTCTCTTTGAGAGACTTCTGAGTGCTTGCGGATTCAAACAACCTTGTGGATCCAAGGGACGTTTCCTGATCTTTGTGAATCCAAGGCCTGAATTCCATTATTCTCCAGCTTTTGCTGCATTAAGCGGTATCAGGGCAAGGACTCAAAGAACATTATTTTGATCCTTGTGGATTTAAGGATTAAGGCAATTTGTGCCTTGTGTATTCAAGGCCCGATTTCATTCTTCTCCAGCTTTTGCTGCATCAAACATCCAAGTTTTTCAATAGGAAAAACTCCTGAACTGGTCAAGGCTTCTTCATCCATGGTGTAGACTCTTAACTAATGTGTAGTTAATTTCAATAGGGAACCTTTCAGCTCACACTTGCACATTCACTCTTTTTTCTATGAATGATTATCTGGGACCAGCAAATTTCAAAATAAAAACATAAAGGTGGCCAACACAATCTTTTCTAATAACTGCTTTCCGTCTTGCTAGTGTCCACAGAATGGAAAGGGGAGAACCTTGATGATCCTCGTGATAAATCTGGCTCTCCCTCTATTTGACAAGCATTTTTAGCGGAAGATCACAAGTTAGAATGCAAATGACAATTATGAACCCAAAAATAAGCCAACTAACAATTTATATTGACCCCCTTCCAAAAATAAGAATGAGTCTCCCTTATTCTCATCATTTCTACAGTCCATTCCTTCAAGAGAAGATACAAAGCATGCTATCAACATTGTCTCAAGCATAGCATGGTAATAATTCTACAATGTTTAAGCCATCTCACTATCAAAAGTTTATTTTAAAAAACCAAGGGAACCCCATAAAACGTGATTAGCACACGAAGCTTGAACGTTTCCCCTCCTAATGGCAATTAGTTAAAAGTCAAACAACAGTAAGCATTAACTGCACAACAGCTAGTACAGACAAATTGTGATCAGGCATTACACTGGTAAAAAATGATCGAGTAAATCTATGTCATTTGAATGTGATGACAGAATACAGATTAAACATGCCCTTCTTATTAGCACGTCACTACTGAAAGGACAGACAAACCTCTATCCCCTGAAGGCATAGGAAAATGGATCCCCATGCGCCAAAAAGCATAAAGAAATGCAGAGAGAAAGACTATAGCTCCAAGTGCTGCTCGTTCGTTCCTCAGCCCTGAAAGAAAAAGAAAAGTCCCCAATTCATCACTTATGAGAAATAGGTACCTCTTTTCAAATTAGTTAATCAGAAGCAGCAAAATTCTTGATGCAAAATATGCGCTGCATACATGAACTTTGCTCCTCCATGGATATGTGTGCGGAAGATGTAATGTGCCATTTCATCAAAATATGCAAATTCCAAGAGGTTATAAAAATGTAAGAACTTGCAAGACAAGATATCAAATATTTACCCTTTACATCCACTGTAAGTGTAGCAACAATGTCAGCTACTATCAGACATGAGAGCTAGGCATGCATGCCCATGCAATGCCCACGACATAGATTATAGAGCAGAAGCTTAAACATAACAAGTTTTCTTTACAATTTTATGTTGATCACTGTAGAACAGCCTGTCTCTTTGCTTTGTCACTCATGGCACCTTTAAGAGGTTTTCAATAGTCTTTGACTTGTGAGGTAGGTACTGTCATTCAGATCAAACTTTCAACTAATAGTTGTCCAAGAGATGACCACATTCAAGTCAAAATTCTACTCCCTTCTTCAGATTTTCTACCTTTATTTAATGTCCTCAATGTATGAAATCAAAATCGTAGTCTTCTACACACGAACCATAGCTACAGGACTCTTGGTTAACCTCATACTTTGGTGATATTGTCTACGCACTTGACACCACCTAGAAGAGAACCGAAATCATGCAAAGCTGGTTATAAGTTTTCACAAATTCTTGGATCCTTTATGGGTTTCAGTCAACCTCAGATTTTATGGAAGGATTATAAAAACAATGATAATGTTTAACCATTAATGAGTCATGTGATCTTACTGATGTACACCAGCAAAAATAGCATTTGATTGGTATAAAATACATGACATCATACAAGGAAACCAGCTCCGAAATATACGATTCTAAATGATGAGAAGAACAAGAACGAAGGGAACTGGGTGGTTTAGTGGTTGAAAGAAATCCATTCTTTCCCGGACTAGAAAAGGGGTAGATCAATGACGAAGTACAATTCATAGAATATAGCTAAGAGGATGGTCTGCAGTTGGAACAACTATGGAGACAGAGAAGATGAGCCTACCACTGCTCCTCAGCATCAAATAGCAATGATAATATGGGAGTACAAACACCAGCAGCATTATTACACAGAACAAGTCAAGTTTCCAATTTATCCATCTTGCCCTGCAGCCATAGCATAAATAATTTCCTCAGTTTTTACCAAAAATAGATTATCTGGGAGATATAGAAATAGCAGTATGAACAAGATCATCCCTCATAGCATCCATTTTCTGAAGGATCATAGTATCTGAAGATCGAAATGTGAATCAACCAGCAACATTCCATTTTAAACTCAACAGAAATAAGCAGCTAACTAAGAACCCACCCCCTGACTAAACAAAATAATGAAAATAAAAGAGACAACTACATGCCATGCACAGCTACCAATGGTAATCGTGAGAGCAATATTTCCTCATGCTAATGAGTCAGCAAAGAGAGTCACAGCAAATAGCCTTCACGATATCATGAATAAAAACAAACTAATAGAGAGGAAACAAAAAGTATCCAATTCATCAAATGAAGAGTAGCGAGAATTTTATACAACCGAATCATAGGCACCTACATTTCCAAATAAGCTAAAGATACACTAGCAGAAGGATAACCAAAAAGACTCTGACCTTGAAAACGGAATCTAGGTCCCTCTAGAAGCATCACTTCAAAGAAACTTGAAGTGATGTAAACATTAACAATACCATATTACCATTACCATTAACGACCATTCGAAGAAACTTTGAGACAGCATGTCGAACCAGCCAAAAAGGGGGGATTTCAATTATATCAACTAAGGTGATACAAGCGGCTCTGATTATCTCAATCAGAAATCTAAACATTCTTTTTAGGCAAAAAATGATTAGAAGGGAAGCGCTATCAAACCAGCATTTTTTTCTTCAACAGAAGCTTTGTTACGTGGAAGACAACATTTTCTCCAGGAAAAAGTGTGCATACCTAACACCGAACGTTGAAGTTATATAGAGCTTGTAAAAATAAGCTGTCTCTTCATCAACAACGACCGCAAATAAATACGCACGAACGCAGGGCATTATGGACCGCAGTTAAAACAAAGAAACAGAGTGCTGCAATTGATTTCCAGCCTTGATCTTTATGTCTGTCAGAAACCTCTACTTTCATTTTTCATCTATTCCTTCGTTAAAAATCTTCAATCATTATGTTCACAATCCACAAATATGCAACGGGAATTTATCGTCGTCACCAATTCCAAGGAAAGATATATCAAAGTAATTGTAACCGAACGGCAATCTGAACATTATCGGTAGAAGATTTTAAATGTGCCAGGAGCACCTCGGGCCCAGACAGCGGCATCTGAGGAAAGGCATGAAGATCAAATAGGCAGGAGAGTCACCGGACTCACTCTTTCGAGAGGACGAAAGGGGCGATCTCGAGGAGCACGAGCTGAAGGAGGTTGCAGGAAAAGGCGAAGACGGCGGAGAAGAGAATCTGCACAAGAGCGCTCTTCTCCTCGTACTCCTTGTACAGCCGGCGGTTGAGAAACCACAGCCCCGCCCATCCCAGAAGCCCGAGCGAGGTCACCACCACCCCGCCCTCGTACATCCTCCTCCCCCACCCCACCTCCATCGCCACCGCCACCGCCCTCCCTCGGGATCTCGCCTCCCACGAGCAAGAAGACCCCACAAGGCCCCTCTGAGCTTCCCCCGTTCCTTTTCTCCAGGAGTCGCCTCCACACCCCTCCTACTCCCCTCACTTCCCACCCCCCCTCCAAGAACGGCCCAACATTAGCCCAATAAATCTTAGGCCCACTTATTTGTCATTTTATAAAATTGAATTATCCTGGAAAATGCTGGCCGTTCATTGGATCGAACGGATCAGAATACGCCGATTGCCGCGCTCGATTTGACGGGACTCATCGATCGGACGGACAGAACTGTACAGATTAGGATCAGAGAGATGCGTACGGTCAGAGGCCGACGTCCTCCCCATTGTCGGGGGTGGTTCGGTGACCGAGACGGAACTGTGGGGCCCAAGAGCCGAGGCACATTAATCCCCAGAGAGGACGCTTCATAACGCCGTTATATAACGGCGACGGCGGCCAGTGGCAGATGGGGAAAGCCCGGTGCGGGGCCCAACGGACAGTTGGGTTTCCGTTTCCCGGCCTCGATAAATTTCTCGGCTGAGCGACGGGGCGGAGGGAGGAAGAGATTCCCGCCCGGTCTGGTTTCTATCTGTACAGATTTAATCCCGTCGCCAGCGGCGATCTCCACTCTGCTCACCCGCCACCGATGCTTTCCGTCCTTTGCAGCGATGGAATGACGTAGCAGATTGCTCGGATTTGGCTTTCCGGTGGTTCCTGGGAGTCATCGGAGGACAAGGTGCTAGCGGCGGCCTGGAGTGACAATCAAAAGGGAGGTAAGGACTGATGGCTTAACTATGTGATTTTCCTCCCATCTTCCGCACTCACTGGCGATACCGTTGTGTTCGAAGTTTTAGTGATCAAATAGTTTAGCTCTCTCTCTCTCTCTCTCTCTCTCTCTCTCTCTCTCTCTCTCTCTCTCTCTCTCTCTCTCTCTCCCTCTCTCTCTCTCTCTCTCTCTCTCTCTCTCTCTCTCTCTCTCTCTCTCGGTGGCTCTCGCGTTAATGATTATGTTATTTTGTCCGAGCTGTTCAATCTTCTCCCGGTTACGAGGTGATCCTGGCCATAGAAGACGTCATTTTCTTCGGATCTCGGTCCCATGTATTTTTCTAACCCCGTCGATTTGTTTTCCGTTTGTGAGATGCGATATCGTCGTCGTTGTTATGTTGTTATTTTTTCCCCTTGTTTTCTGGGGCAGTGTAGCGTTCATTAACCGGCGAGAATTAGAATCGTTCTGACGTCGTAGATGAGCAGTGTGTTCCCTGCTTCCTAGTGATATCTCTCCGTTATTCAATTGCACAGAAAGGCAAAGTGTGGGATAGAGAGACAGCGAGAGAGATTCTTCCGTTGTCTGACCTAGCAGCGAGGAATCATCTTTTCAGCCTTTGTCTTGCCTCTCGGTTTTACTTAATTTCTCCTGTATTGGTCCGCCTTGGGAGCTGCTGTTGCTACTGTTTGCCGCTGCCATCCTCATTAGAAGTGACTTCGACTTTCACCGCGGGGAAACCATCAGCTCAGAGCAAACAGGAAAACAGATTGTGTTGCACGGCTGAACCTCCTACAGTTCTCTCTAGGCGCGGTTACAGAGTAGGGAGAAAACAGCACAGAAGCAGAACAGAGAGGCAGAGGAAGAAAGAGGGGTGAGGTAGAAACTGGGGAAGAACGAAGCTTGGACTCGGTCGTTACCGGTCCACCTGCGCTGCACCGTGCTTTTATTTCACGGCTTTTACTCCGATTTCACCATTAAAGAACCGGAGAAAAGAAAAGGCGCGATTAAGACTCGGTGGACCACGGCATCCTCCGGCTTAGCGGCTGCTGCTCTCTCTGCTGTTTCAGAACCTTCCTAAGAAGCTATTTTTTACTCTCTGAGCATTCTTCGTATACAGCACAGCAGGCAACGCTCTTAAAGCCCATGGCTTACTTTTTTTTTATTCGACGTGGAAAGGTTGTAGTAGAATGTCTAAATTACCTCAAAGGTTTGGGTGGTAATAATAGCCTCCGTTCAGCTCGATAAATCACGTGTATTATGTCGCCTCTATAATTTAGTCCAGACTTCTTTTATGGCAAGGGCATTCATGTCAATCTCTGTCATTCTCTTCTTCTCTTTAATTCCATTCTTTGACGTGACTGTACATCTCCGGCGACCCAACATTCCTTTCTTCCGACAGGGCTAAGACGGAGAATCCGACCGAAGTACGGGGAACACCACATCAACCTCCGGCTGAGACGGCGGCAGCCCCGCAGCCGTAGTTTTAACTGCTGACGGTGGGAAGAGGGTGGGGACAGGCGAAAGGGAAGGGATAGGAGGATGCTGACCTGCATTGCCTGCTCGAAACAGCTAGCGGATGCGGGAGAAGATGAGCCCGCGCGTGGAATCCCACGGACAAAGGACACCGTCAAGAGCCTAACGTCGCAGGTACCACTCCCATCCACTCCTCTTCGACAGTACTGCAAGATGTCTTCTTCGTCTTATCGCGGCGTACTCTAGTTTTCTCTCGACATGTCCGTGTTCATCACTGAACTTTTCTGTTTCCTTTTGGTTAATTTGCCTCCAAATTGTGCTGGTTAATCCGTCTATAAACTTCGATGCCTCCCTAATCGGTATTTTTAACTTTTTCTTTCTTCTCCTCTCTCTCTCTCTCTCTCTCTCTCTCTATCCCATCGCTAATACCGAAAGCAGCTAAAGAGAAAGGGGGACTAAGCATATGCGTGATCATTGGGCGGAAAACGTTAATTTACGTACTGAAGGATTTGCCACCCCTGTTTTCCACCTCGATGTTACTTTAAATGCTCGGGCCGAAACAGAGCCCAGTCGGCCGCCTCGAGGATCAGCATCCTCAAAAGGCGTGCCGTTGGAAAGATTCATTGGCTATGTACAGAATGAGGCCCCTCCACCGTTCATCATCATTCCCTGTTTGTGTGAGCCCAAAACTGGAACATTTCTGAACTGATATCTGAACCAAAGTCCGTCTGTTTTTATACAGCAAAATTGATTGCGAGAAAGAAATTGGCACAGGCTGTCGACCACTCAATACTTTTGGGTTAAGTTGACCAGGGCTGGATTCCACTATTCGGCTATTTTGTCTGAATGAGTAAACGCGACTTTATCCTTGTTAATTAACCCAACCAATTCCAGTTCTAACCAGGTCATCTAAGTTGTGTCCAACAGATAAAGGAGATGATGTTGAAGTTCTCCGGAGCGTACCGGCACAGCAAACCTTATGGAGGGGGTGTTGCCACCGGCGGCACCTGCAGGAAGGGTGGATTTTCCAGCGGCATCTTTGACAGCCACCCGTACGGCGATTTCGACGCTGTGTCGGAGGCAGGTGAAGACCTGGCCGGGCGGCATCAGTATCTTAGAACGGGATGCAGCTCCAGCTCCACTCCGGGGTGGGACTTCGCAAGCGTCAACGTGGCATCGTCGAATGACAGGTTCGCCATTGGAGAGGATCGGTCAGGGAACGAGGATCGACTGTTCGAGGAGGTGCTGGTGGAGGACGACGGGGCAGCCAAGGAATGGGTCGCCCAGGTGGAACCCGGTGTCCACGTGACCTTCCTCTCCATCCCCGGCGGTGGCAACGACCTCAAGCGCATCCGCTTCAGGTAATATCCGTCACTGTCCCCCGCCTCCCTCTCACCCGTCTATCTGTCTCATTCTTCTAATCTTGGGTGTCATGTCTGCGAGCAGTAGGGAAATGTTCAATAAGTGGCAGGCGCAAAGATGGTGGGGAGAGAACTACGACCGCATCATGGAGCTATACAACGTGCATCGCTTCAGCCGCAATGCGCTCCCCACTTCCCTCCGCTCGGATTACGATGTGAGACCCGTCTCAGACAGCTTAGCCCGTACATACACTCTCTCTCTCTCTCTCTCTCTCTCTCCTTCTCTGAATCGATGAGAGAGAAAGCCCGTTGCAACCATGGATTCGTCTGTCCCTGTCGTGTCCCCATCACAGCTATCCAAGGGGAAACCCCACCGGGTACCACTGCTCAACCGACAACCCAGAGTACCCCCCCCACGGCGCGGCGTCTAATCCAATTGACCTGCTTTGCTAAAAAGAGGCAAATGGGACGGCCCAAGAATCCGCATTTGGCCCTTTCTTGATTTCCGCGGCTCATTAACTACTCTCCAACCTTTTTCTTTCTTCTTTTGTCGTCCCTGCGCCACAGCTCCTTTCTCGTGGCTGGAGAAACTCTGTTCCCCCCTGCTCACCCTGCGGCCGCTGTCTTGCAGGGGGATTCATCTTCCGTCTCGCGCCCGACGGGGGAGGGCCCGGCGACTCCTCGCCCGGGCATGGCCCGGAAGGCCAATGGCAGCAGCGCGCTCCTTCCCGTGCCGGACCCCACCGAGCACATCCTCCACTACAACCCCAACTTCCCCATGGCGGCTTCGGGGGCTCCGTGGAAAGGGGAGGAGGCTCCGCTGGCCCACGAAGTCACCGGGGACCCCCAGGAAACGGCGGAGTGGGTGGCGCAGGACCAGCCGGGCGTCTATATCACCATCCGCCAGCTCCCCGACGGCACCAGGGAGCTCCGCCGCGTCCGCTTCAGGTATCACCACCACTAGCCATCCCAACCACCCCCGCCCCGTTCGTTACTCGCGGCAGCGTCCGTTCGCTCAATTCCTTGCTTGCTATGGCAGCCGGGAGCAGTTCGCGGAGAAGAACGCGAAGCGATGGTGGGAGCTGAATCAGGAACGAATTCAGGCCCAATACCTCTAACCGGAGCACGACAGGTAAAAACCCGCCGCCGTCGGGCTACATGCTCCCCCTCCCCTCCGTTTCCAATTGTCGCACCCATTTAGAAATATCCATACGTAGATGCTAGTGCCTTCCATCACCTTGGCCAGGATGGAAAGAGAGATAGGGGAGGGGGGCAGATGATGGGATTAAGATCTTCGGAGAGGTTAAAACCATACCAGGGGAGAGGGGGGGGTGCTTGGGGGGCCGTCATGTTAGATCATTAGAAGATTATATATAACAAGAGATGAACAGGCAGGCTTGGTGAGGCCACAGTAGGCAAGCTACACGGGACGTAGAATCCCCCAGCACTTATTTTACCCTTACTTATTTCGTAATTTACCATAGCTAGGAACTCTTGCCCAGCCATTCGTCAGGAGTTTTAGATCTGCTGCCTCCCGCTACAGCGCCGTGCAGCGGTCGGCAAAGACCCTCAGCCGCAGGAGCTCCCCCTTCGACTGGGCCAGGCGCGTGCCGGCGCGGTCGAGCTGGGAGCGCAGGTGGGCCGAGCGGGCTTCCTCGCGGCGACCTGGGCCTGCATCTCCGAAATCATCTCGTCCCGCCGCCGGAGCTGCTCTCGCAGCTTCTTCTGCACCTCCCCCCGCCGGAGCACGCCGTCGGAACCCGACTCTGACCCTCCGCGGAGTCCGAGTCGCTCGACTGCTGGAACGGCCTCCGCGGGTGCTCGTGGCGCTCCGGCGACGACGGCCACACCACGCCGCCGCCGCCGCCGTCACGGTCCTTGACGCGCTCCGCCGCCGGTGCCGCCACCGGGGGCAGTTCCGTGTCTGTACCCTCGCTCCACGACGGGCGAGCCTGTGCCGCCTTGATGTCGGCCCTTCTTGCTTCAGATATCCCTGCACAACACAACAACACGCCACCGTCGGCTTTCATCGAGGGAAGAGAAAGATTCAGAGGAGAGAGACGAAGTCAAATCATGAAACACTCGTGGTCAACCCTCGAGACATTTTCTGGTCTAAATTTTTTTATGTAGATTCAAATTTCTTAAAATCAGATAATTGGCCATTCTCCGGGGTATTTGTCAGCCAGACAGAAAAACAGCTGTCATTGGCTGACTGATTAATCCCCATTCAAACATGACGATGATCCAGGCGCCACCCTCCCTTACTACCGAGTCGAGCGTCGAATAGTCCGGAAACCAAGCGCGCACCGGACCCGAGTGGAAGTAGCAGCGGATGTCCTCCTCATCCCCCCTCCCGAAGCAGTACACATTCGGACGCCACTCCTCATCCTCGGGCCCTCCTTCCATGAGGCTCATCATCTCCTGAGCCGTACATAGCGGCCATCCTTCAGAGCAAAAATAAAAAAACCAACTTCATGGGCTCTGAGATCGATCGATCAATAAATCAAACCTCTCTCAAGGTTTTTCTCTTGGCACCAGAAGAGTCGCCGCCGAAGGCCTGCCTCAGCCTGCACCGAAGCCTCACTGCCAGTGCGCTCAACAGGGCGGCGCTGACGACAAGCATCCAGTTTGTTGGGGTAGTGTCGGATTTCATCCCAAGTGAGATTAAGCGGAGTAGCTACTTGAAGAATCAGACTTTGACCAAAACCCACAGGCAGAGCTGTGATCTTCCAGGAAGCAAGAAAGAGCAGAGGAATTTAACAACTTGGTAACTGCGATTATGATCAAAACCTGTGGAGAAAAGTAGATGGACAATGCGGAGGAATGACGAGACATGTGATGCGAGTAGAATGAGGAGGTCTCGGGTGGGCTTCTGAACAAGATGTACGAACTCCAAAAGAGAAGGTGCGTCGGTGTTCTAGCGCAGGAGAAAAATATCAGATGGTGGTGAGCTTCTGATAACAATGCTCATCTTCACCCAGCTCGCTAGATTCGGTTGATTCATCGTTAGTGCCGAATGAACGGATCAGCACGCCGAAGTATCGAGGAATATCGAGGTATGGGTTCTTCGACTGTTGGAAATCTCATCGGGGTAATCGGATGAGAAGGTGCGCCGGTGCTTCAGGTGGGGTAATCGGATGCCGACGAAGAGCATCTGCAGTGGCGAGTAACGCAAGACAGCAGGAACTCGCCATCTAACCGTAACAGGAGAAGAACCGACGGAAGGCATCCAACTGCCAAGGGAGGGAAAATATGGCCTCCGCTATGCTTACTCTCCCGTTTTCTCACGGCACGCCAGAAGGACGCGCTCCCAGTGCGGCAACATGAATAACAAACAGAAACGCGCGAAAATTCGTATGCAGAAACCCTAACCGCGGCAGCAGTTGAGAGAAATGGCGGTGGACCGCGCGACGAGAACCAGGCGGCAGCGAAAAATGGAGCAATGGAGAGAAGCCCCAACGGACGAAGCATTTACCGGACTCTCTTCCTCCTCCCGATCCCCCGCCCGCGAACTACGATCCCTCCCCTCCCCGGCGCCTTCCATCCCGACCAGATGCACGGCGGGATAGAGAGCGAGAGAGAGAGAGAGCGGCGGCCGAAGAGCAGAGAGAGTGCTTTCCGTCTCTCTCTCTCTCTCTCTCCCCCCCCCTTCCCGCGCCCGCTCTTTTGCCGTTTTCCCCCAATTTTTTTCTCCGCAGCAGAGTGATAGGGAGAGAGAGAATTTGGCGGCATTAAGGGGTCCACCATACGGTTAATAATAATCTCGGACCCAACCATATTGGTTGGGCCCAGATAAGGAGTTAATGGGCCATATTACGAAACTCCGGCCCGGACCGGCTTGTTTTTAACTAAGTAAAACATAAAATGGGTCCTGCCCAATTATACATTTGGGCCATACCATCAGGCCCACTTGGACCAGTCACAAGATCCACATCGCAGCCTCTTATCGTTCCACGTGCCTCTTTAGCAGACCACTTGGACCAGTATCTGTAACTTGGCTGTTCTTCATAGTGTGAAAAACTTATGGGAGAGAGGGAATTCTTCGTTGGTGGGCGGAAGACTTTCTTTCGTGGTCTTGCCCCACCAAACCCCCCCCCAGATGCTCTAGGCTAACGCTACTGTACCCAGTAAACTACAGAATAATACAAATGCCCCTAAAAATTTGACTGCTGAGAAGGGCGATACTCCAAATATTTATGAATCACGGGGTGTTCGATCAAGTTCTGACTTCAAAGTCATCAAAAGGCCGGTGGACTTCCCGTCAATGGCGATTATACCTATTAACCTCTTTCCATTAAAAATTGGATTTTTTTGTGCAAAAAAGCAATCCTGCGTAGAAACGGGAGCATTACTCGTCGTCTTCCTCGTTCCACACCGTCAGAGCCTCTCCATCGCCGCCGCTGGCCAGTGTCGACCGTCTCCGGCTGAGTGAATGCCATTATAAGACACCTCCCAAACTCTCCAAAGTACGCCATCACAGCACACGCAGCAGCATCGGGCATTCTGCTAGCCGCCAGCGAAAACCATGGACCACTGCGCGCTCCTGCTGCTCGATGCCGCCGCCGCGGTGGCAGCCTTTCTCGCCGTCCTCTGCTACGTTGTCGCGCCGGGAGGAGTGAAGGTGCCCATCAAGGGGCGCCATGTGTTCGTCACCGCCGGGTCCAGCGGCATCGGACTCAGCCTCGCGAAGCAGGCCACCGCCGAGGGAGATAGGGTTTCGATTCTCGCCCGCAATCTCCGGAAGCTGGAGGAGGCCCACGAGGAGATCCGCCGCGCCACCGGGGTGGAGGCGGCGATCTACAGCGTGGAAGTGAGGGACGAGAAGGCGGTCAGGGAGGCCCTGGAGGAGGCAGGCACCGTCGACGTGCTCGTCTGCAACCACGGGGTCTTCCTCCCGCGGGAGCTGGTGATGGTGGACATGGAGGAGGTGAGGTACACCATCGATATCAACGTGGTGGGTACCTTCAACCTGATACGCCACGCGCTTCCGGCCATGAAGCAGGCCGCCGGTGGCTCCCCCTCGCGCTCCATCGCCGTCATCTCCTCCCAAGCCGACCAGGTAGCCCCTCTCTCTCTCTCTCTCTCTCTCTCGCTGTTCCCAATGATGAGGAGGACCTCCTCCTCCTCCTCCTCCTCCTCCTCCTCCTCCTCCTCCTCATCATCATCATCATCATCATCATCATCATCGTCATAATTATAATCATCATCGAGGTTGACCTTCGTCTTCTTCTTCCTCTGTCAGATAGGAGTCTACGGGTACACGTCCTACAGCGCCAGCAAGTTCGCCCTCCGGGGCCTGGCGGAGGCTCTACAGCAGGAGTCTTCGATAACATCCGCGTCTCCCTCATCTTCCCCCCGGACGTCGAAACCCCTGGATTTCAAGAAGGTCACCATCTCGTTTCCTTCCTCTCTCTTCTTCTCGTGAGTTTTCTTCTTCTCCCTTCTGTTCATCTAACCTTTGGCAAGTGCTGAGAAATTCACGACCAAAAACAAGATCCATTACCCAAGGCATCATCACCTATTCACCTGGTTTTGCGCAAAACCATGGACTGCCCTAACCCTGACTCTCGCCGATTGCAGAGGTGAAGAGGAGGCCCGAGCTCACTAAAATCCTGTCGTCTTCCTCGCCAATTATGACCTCGTCAGAAGAGCTCTGGACGGCATCAAGTCGGGGAAGTTCCTGGTCACCTGCAACCAGGTGGGGTCCATCCTCTCCCTCACGACGGCCGACGAGGCTCCGGCGAACTCGGTCCTGGCGGCATTCTCCGAGGTGGTCTTCGCCGGAGTGATGCGCCTCATCGCGCTTTTCATCCTCCATGGGTGGTACTCGACCATAGTAAAATGGAACGCCAGGCAAAGAAGGAAGGCGGAGAAGATGACGTGACGACCGTCGGTCAATCGGTCTGATTCCCTCAGACCATAGGCCAGCCTCATTACGCACGGAGTCAACCGGATAAATTTTTAGCCAGGTATAGAATTTGATGAGGATCGAAGAAGCCGGCCACCATGAACGTTGGCAGCACATCAGCACAGGCCTGTGAAGGAGGGATTCCTTCTATTTAGCATTTGTCTTTTTCTGTTAAACATAATACATCAGAGAGGTTATGAATAATCTCTCGTAGCCCTAGAAATAATAGAGGAGAGTATTTTGATTTCGGAAGCTTTCATTTTTATCCCTCCGTGAGAGGGAGGCCGTGAGGGTGGGCCATTATCCATCCACCTTAAGCCGCCGCCTTCCACCGTCCGTCGTTCTTCGTCGCCGCCGTCGACAATCATCCATCGTCCGCCGCCCCCCACCCATCCTCCGCCTCCGTCGAATCCTACCCTATCTCCGCCACACCACCAACGACGCTAGGGTCTTGGGTCTCTATTCGTGCCTCCCCCGCCGTCCCGAGCTATTGCCACCGCCGCCCGCGTCCTCGCCGGCGTACCGCTGCCGACACCGCCATCCACCGCTCCGCCGCCCGTCTGCCCGTCCACCCCCCCCAGTTTAACTTCCCACCGGTTAGTGACCCAGAGACCGCCCGTTGAACCGGTCCGGATCCGCCGGAACCGCTAGATCCGACCCGTCTGGCTCCCTCAAGCCCAAGTAATTCAGTGAACTGCCTGGCCCGAACCGCCGACCGATTCCGTTGTTGCCGTTCAACAGACAACCAGTCAACGATGAACTAGTCGACTAGTCAGCAATGAACTATCGATATCTAATCAATCGTCAACACTTAGTCATCGATCAATGGTCAAAGATTTGATTTCAACGTCTACTCTTTTCTCTCAACCTACAGTCGATCTTGGTGGCATTGAGGTGATCTCTGGACCCTTTTTCTTTCCAGATTAACTATTTGATTTATTAGATATTATCTATGTAATTGTGGTTGAGTGATCCCTAGATACATCCACTTATTATCACAGCTAATGAAAAGTGTTGCAAGAACCCCTTGATTTTTGACTAGTAATTTACTGTGAGTCGATGATCACCTAACCTCCATGTGGTCCTTAACTACGTCAATCCGAACTTGTTTCAATTCTTTCAGGGTAATAATTTGGGTTTGCCTTAGTCAACTTTTGTAGACTCAATGTACTCAATGTGAGAGTCATTTTATATTAGGGTTATCTTGGTCTTTTGATCCCCTCCTATATCACATAACTTATGACATACAATCTCATATGGAAGTCACATGATTGAATGAGATGAGATGATTTGATTACGTAATAAATCAAAAGGCTACAGTGTAAGGACCTCAAAACTATAGAGCATATCTCAAAAATGAAAAAACTCTACGTATAGAACATCTCTTGCCTCTCCCTCTCAAGCAGATGCCCATAAGTCAACCTACGTCAGTTTGTCAATAAGATGTTGATGCCAAAGCCATTGCGACTAAATAAATCAGCACTTGGCCCTTTGATACTAGGTATTGATAGGGGGGGGGGGAGGGGTGTTAAATTAGTTTTATATTTAATTTATTATATTTTACATGTTTTTTAATTAGTGTTACCAATTCTTAAAAACATATTTCAACATAGATAAATTTGGGTCGACACTAAATTTCTGCACATATAAAATAACAAGATTTATAATGTTTTCCTTGACATATAAATTTATAAGTTCTTACCCTTGACTTTTGTTATTCTCCTTTAAGGATTCATGGGTGAGATTCACAAGATGAAAAAAATCCCCCACAAGATAGAATTCACAAATTTATCATCCCATAACAATAATGTGAATTCACAAGTCTACTGTCATTACAAATACTCCTCCAAGTGAATTTACATAGAAGGTTAAGATCACCAAAGTTAAGTATTGATGCTAAAATGAAGAACCTTCTTGATGTAGTAGGTAAATGGATGCTTGAAGAAGCTTTAGCAAGCAACCACAAAAGCTAATCTTTAAGAGATAATCTTGGAAATGTGTAAAATGAGACGATCAATGGTTGAGGTACACTTTGAAACCTTTTTCCAAAGAGTTAGTCATAAGGTCTAAAAATTTCAACAATTGAAATTCAAATATATATGATTAGATCAGTTAGAGATTGCTTAAGTCAATACTTGGGACAACATACTTAATAGATTGTGTGGTGAGATTTTTCAGGTTGGCAAACTTTTAAACAAGGTCATACAAGTGTGTCAACACAGGATTTTCAAACATTTTTTTTATTTTCTAATGTATAAAGATATGAGGCCCTTGTCATAGATCTTCTATCATATGTCAGATTTTCCAACATATTAGGCACATCAGATTTCTAGATTTGGTTTTAACCTCTCTAAGTTAACACATAAGTCAATACATGTTCTCTCTTTGAAAGGATGGATCATAGGTTGACAGAAAATTTGTAGGTCAATATACTTTCTCTCTCTTCAAATGGGTCAGCTCTATATCCCTTTTTTCATGAAATTTTAATAGCTCCACACTTTTTCTCTCTCCTCTATTCATCTTTCTTAAATTCCTTCTTTCACTTTGATTTAATTTATCTGCTTGCCTATTTATTTGCTGATATCTCTTTTCTTTATGTGATGCCTAAAAAACTTCAAAACAAAAGAAACTTTAGATCTAATGATTAAGACCTTGATTCTTGAGTTAGTCTAATGAGGCCTTGACGATCAGATAACCCTGTGCCCGCCGCACTCTGTCCATGTATGCGAGGTGAATCGTGAAAACTAACCCAACCCAGAACGCAGCCTTAAGCCAAATCGACACATCGGCTTCATGCAGAAGGTGGGCGTCTGACGCGTAGAGAGAGAGAGAGAGTCGAATCTAAGAATGGGGACTACTAGGAGCGGGGAAGAAGGCTCAGCGGGGCCCGCAGGAGCCGCAACGGTCGAAAATGAGAACAGTCCCGGTCGAGTCCAATAAATAGATTCCTTCCACCCTCCTGTGAAGACCCTCCTCTCTCCCTCTCTCTCTCTCTCTCTCTCTCTCTCTCCCTCCCGCACACACATGGCGGTGGGGAGCTTCACCCCCGTCTCCTCCTGCTCCCCCGGCAGCAGCAGCAGCAGCACCGGCAACTCCGCCGGTGACGTGGAGGCGCTCTTGGCGGAGGCAGCTGACCTGGTGGCCCTGGAGCAGATCGCCAGGCTCAACACCGCCCACCTCTCCAGCGAGGCCCTCCTCCCCGCCGACGTTGAGTCCCGCTTCAGCCGCCTCAAGACCTTCCCCGCGGCCGATCCTCCCCGGAGGTGCTCCTCCTCCGCTGCCCGAGAGCCACCGCCACCCCTCGAGGAAGACCCGCCTGCCGGGGACAAGCCCGACGGCGGAAGGCTCCCGGAGAAGAAGGCATCAGGCGGCGCCGCCGCCTCGCCGGAACCCTTTTTTCCTTCTCCCTCCCCGTCCAACGCCGGCTCACCGTCGCCGCCACGCCAGCGGCGAGCCTGCTGCTTCGGGTTCTCACCGAGGAAGGGCGGCGCCGCCACAATGAGGAGGAAGCAGGACGAGGACGAGCGCCACCTGTCGGAGGCCTTCCGCCGTCGGGGGAAGGAGCTATGGAAGGCGATGAGGGTGGAGGAGGAGAAGGTGGTGAGGGAGGCGAAGGAGATGACCCGGTGGATGAAGCAGGCCTCGGCGGGGATGACCCTATCCACCGCCGCCGTCGAGGAGTTGCTGAGCGATCTGGAGGACGAGGGCAACGCCAAGAAGAAACCCTCCTGTAAGTAGAAAGTGGCCCATCATCCCTGTAAACAAAACCAAAGATGTTAGTCAGATCCCCCACCCTCCCCCCTCTTCTTTTTCCTCCTGGTTTTAGCATTTTGTCACTGTTCATGGAGAAATGAGATGAGCGATCCCGCCGGTGAAGAAAGCGGAGGAAGGATGAAAGAAGACTTTCTTTTGCTAAATTTAGGATCTTTGGATGTTTGTTTAGAGACAGAGAGCGGGCGAGCGGAGCTACAACTCTTATCTTCTTCTGCTGCGGCTACTTTCTTCTCCTCCCTTCAGCTGGTCAAGAGCGCCGTTATTAGAAGCCAGCCCCTTCGGGGTCACTTCCCGGAGACCAATTCCTCCAATGATTTAATGGGCGAACCGTGTCCGTAGGCGATGGTGTCCCTCCACAGAGCGATTCCTGACACCAAGAGAGAGGGAGAGAGATAGAAGGGGGGGGCGGGGGGGAGTCTCAGGCCAAAGAAAATAATTGAGAGAATACACGGCATGAAACGTGAGAGTGCAGAATGCAGAGAGAGAGAAGAGGGAAAAATAAAAGCAAAAGAAGCAGCAGAGAGAGAAAGAAGCAATACACAGCATGCAGACTGAGAGGAAAATAGGGGTAGCGGCCAACCTAGCCATAGAAACAAGCCTAGTGTTGCCGCAAAGAAGAATTCCCTGCTGATGCTGTCGCAGCTGAAGGGGAAACACGGCAGAGATTCACTGTGGAGAAAATGTTAAAGTGTCTGTCTACAAGGGCAATAACATTTGGAAGAGGACCTACCAGTACATGCACACCAGGTTTCCCCATCCATGCAGAAACGCTGCCCAACTTGAACCTGTGAACCTGCATTATCACGCTTATTAGAAAAGACAGGTTCATCATGTATTTGTTTCTTCATAGACATTGTACTATTGTTGTAAATCGATTTTATTCTAAACTCTCTCTCTCTCTCTCTCTCCCCCTCTCCCTCCCCCTCTCCCTCCCTCCCTTCATATATCTATGGGACACAAGAGTGGTATTCTTTATAATCCGCCAAAATGCCTACTTCTTGGAGCCTGAAGACATAGACTTGCACTCTAGGTGGTGGGATAGGTTTCAAGAGGGTTCAGTTGGAGGGGAAAAGGTATTAGACGTATCAAGAGCCTGACAGAAGTCCTGAACTCTAGTTTGTAGTCTTCTTCATTTGACACCCAATATGCCAGCACTAGATGTATCACAAGAAGTTAGATGATAATCATGCACGAATAAATAATCTGATTATGCTTTGTAAAGGATATCCTTCCACGGGTTTATATATCTCAATCAGTCGGTACAAAAAAAGAAATATTTCGACCTGAACTTGATCTATGCCATAATCAAAAATCATGAAAAATGCTTACCACATAAGATCTCGAATAAATAATGCACGTGGGATCATAAGTCCATTCCCAATCATGGCAAGCAACATGCTGATTGCCGACAAACCTTGGATGTTGTCGGGATTCAAATAACTTGTCCACTGTAGATAATAATAATAATAACATTAATCACGTATAAGGCAAGCATTAAAAGTGATCGTGCTAGCGAAAGTTCAGCAGACTGAAATTTGATGATAATAATACCATCTGTGCAACCGGCATCCACATGAACAGTAGAGTAGCAGTCCAGCCAGATATTGAACCGACAAATTTGGCCCCCTTTTCAGAAAGTTTGCCGGTCCTCGCCTGCAAGTCAGTACTGAACTTTAGCAGCCATAAATCTGGGCGGTCAATTTTCAGTAAATGACTTCAGCATTACGAGGCAATGACTTGTTTAAATTAGCAACAATAAACTAGTAGCCATAGTCACTTGTATCTATAGTCTTGAAGGAAGAAATCTGAAAACGAGTATTTATATGTCAATTACTATGTAGTTATGTTCTGAGATAATGCTATTGATAGCATAACCATACATGACAGATATATATCCCCATCTGACCATCAAACTAATACATGTCTGACCCCAATTAGAAATCCCGAATACTTCTACACTTCAAATATGGGTTTCATATACTATTCATTAGCATACATCACGAACATTGTTAGGATCTCCATTCATGATGACCCGATCTTGGAGCCTTTTACAATTCACTCGAAATGAGATCTTCAGCAATGAATATTCCTTTAACCACCGATCTAGATCTATTCAGATCAGAAATTCCACAAACACCTTCTCAGAGGGTAAGTTGGCTCTAGGTGATTAGTTCATTGCAAATTATTATAGCCACTGCAACTTGTTGAATCATTTCTGAACGAAAAAAATTCAGTGTAATTAAAATTTCAAAAAAAAAAGCTATGTTATAGTTAAATCCTCCGAGACAGCACTCCATTTTGAAAATTTAGACATTTAATTCAGACCATCTTCTTCCATAGTATCTTTCTTCGATCCATCAGACTCCGATTTTTGTGATTCTTTGTAGTCTTTCTCTTCAGAAGACACGTTCAACTTCACAAATCAGAAATCATTCAGGTGCGACATACAATAGTGTGGTCACATCTTAAAGTTTAGGGGGGCTATCGAATGGAAAAGAACCACCAGAGTATTAAGACTTACCATAACAACAGCCACGACTGCACCAATGGAGGAAAAGAGACCGGGAAGGATGCTGTTGGGGACGAAAGGAACAAACGTCGACCACATAACCTGCAAGGCACACACGACGGCACAAATCCAGGACGCATCACAGTAAGAATCTCACCCAGAAAATTAAGATCATAATCAGCTGGCTGAGAGATTCACCCACCTGCGGAAGAACGGCGAGCCCCCCGACGGTGATGAAGTCCTCCCAGAACCTCCAGACACCTTCGCTGAGCCACCCAAAGTAGTTCAAGAAGTTCAACACCAGCCCCGCGCCGATGACGACTGAAGTCACAATGAAGTGGGGGAGGGGCATGGATTCGGCAACCGCCAGCTGCGAGATCACTGCATACGTCGACAGCACCCCGAGAGTCTGAACAAGGACCGCTTCCGTCTCCCTCTTCTTCGCGAAGTACGACAGCAGAGACAGATTCCCCAGCAGCCCCGTCAGCATCCCCTGCCCAGACGGCACCACACGGAGTTGGCATCTTCCAACCACGCTGAAGGGTATCAAAAGTTTAAGCCAGTGATTCACGAAGATGGGGAGGGATTTCATCGCGGCCTCACTAGCCAGGGCACGGCGAAGAGCGCGGCCTTGTTGCCAGCCACAAGGTTGCGATAGTTGAGGATGATCTGCGGGAGCTGCAGCAGGAGAAACGGGACATTTGCAGCGCCAGCGAACCTCGCCGTCATCGCGTCCCATTCCCGGAAGACGGAGCTCTGCAGACACCCAAACAAAAACCCCAAAAGTTTCAGATCCTCGGAGGGATTGCGATAACTCGCACACATTAATCTTCCTCGCGATCCTCCGAGTCACCTGGTGGACAGGCAGATCGGAGGAATCAGAATCGACGGCAGAGGTGGGAGAGAGCCGGCATCCTCTCCGGCGAAGGAGAGGGAAGGAGAGGAACAGCCGGGGATTCGCTTGGGAGGGCCCGCCAGAGCGGCCTCGAGGGAGACAACGGATCCTCGGAAGAGGGAAGCGGACGAACGAGCCCCTGGCGGACGGCGGCCGCGCGACGGCGATCGGCGGCGCCACCCCGCAGCTCGCCATTGATTCGCCGCGAGAGAGAGACAGGGAGGGGAGTAAGCAGAAGCACCGAGTAAAGGCGAACGGGCGCCGAAGTATTGCAACGAAAGCGAACCGTGGGGCGCCACGTCGAGAGGAGCAGCCGCTTCCACCGCCAGGTGGAGCGACGCCCTCCGTTGAGGAGAAGAAACTGAAATCTCGCGGCCCCCACATTGTAGAGATTGGTCCATTCCGAAGCCCGATAACGGCCCATTACCCTCTTCTCTCGCTCTCTCACACACACGGCGAGGAGATTCCATACAGTGGTATTTTCCAAAAAGGGTTGTAAGGTTCTATCCAACCAGGGGAGGAAAGAATCGGCAACCAGGGGGAGACGCGTGTCATCATCATAAAGATGAGAGACGCTACCATTCCGAATTTGCATGGACGCCAACTTTCTGCCACGTGGCTGGTCAATAGCCTCCCAGCTGTTGCTGCGGCGGCGGCTTCGGCAAGCCGTACCTGCCGGCCACGCCGACGCCGACGCCGCCACCCCCGTAACCCTGAGCGGTGGCGCCAGCTCCGGGACAGTCTCTGGCCCAGTGGCCGGGTTGCTGGCACTTGAAGCAGTTCCCAGAGGCGGCACCGCCACCGCCACCGCCATCACCCTGCCCGACGGCCGCTGCCCTGTTGACGTAAGCTCCTCCACCACCCATCGCCCGATCAACCGCCGCCGTCATCCTCGGAGCAGGGCCGTACGCCCCGCCGTCGCTGCCGCCGTAGGGGTTGACCTGCTGCCGCCCCATCATAGGAGGCCTCGGCGGCTCCGCCGGGGGATAGCTCCTCGGGGCGACGGCGCTCCTGGCGGTGGAATACGAATACGCACCGGGCATGCCGGCGGCGGCGGGCTCCAGCGGCGGCGCGGAGGAGAGCTTGTCGATGAGGGCGAGGAGGTACCTGCTCTCGGAGGAGGGGTTGACCCTCTCGGCCCGGACGACGGTTGACTTGACGCGCTGCTCGTCGCTGAAGGTCTCCTCCTTGACCTTGAGCTTGAAGAGGTACTCGCGGAAGAGCACCCCGCGCACGATCTCCGCGAACCTGGCGTCGTCCTGCTCCTCGTACTTGAGCGCGTAGAGCTCCTTGGCGGCTGCGCCGACGATCTCCTCCCCGGCCTCCTGGAAGGCGGTGACCCATGTGAGCCCCGTGTGGTCCTGCACCTGCAGCTGCAGAAGATACCGGTAGTCGCACTCCGGGAAGGAGCGGTCGCAGCGGTCGCACCGCCACGTGCCGTCCCCGTTGTTGTTGACCTTCTTGTTGCAGGGGCGGTCGCCGACCAGGAGCGGGCAGGCGGTGTAGCAGAAGTTGTCCACCTTGAGGAAGGTCACCGTGGCTTTGACCGTGATCCAGTCCGGCTTCTCCGACCGCCCCAGGCCCTCGTCCTTGATCTGCGAGACGCTCTTCCGGTCGTCAGCCCTCCCACCGCCGGCGCCGCCGGCGCCATCCCTGGAGATGGACAAGGCGGCGGAGTGGCGGCCCTCGCCGTCGTGCCACTCCCGCAGCCGCCGCGCCTCCGGGAAGTCGGGGTCGACGAAGAGCTGGCTCGAGGAGATGGTCCCCACAGACCTCCCGCTGAAGTCGTTGACCCGGGCGGCTTTGACCACCAGGACGGGGAACAGCCCGGCGTCGCACATCTGCTGCAGCCGCTGACCCTCGGCGTTGCAAAAGCTCCCCCACAAAGTCAACTCCACGCTGCGCCCGGACATGTCCCTCAGCTGGAGGGTCCTCTTGAGGGTCTCCGTCCCGTTCTTCCTCATGACGGAGGTAACCGGGTTGACCGCGGAGACGACCCCCGCCAGGTCAACGATGGAGTTGGCCTCGGCGGACTCGATCTCCCCGATGGAGCGGAGATTGAACTGCACCCGCGGGATCGACCCGTCGTCCTCCTCGCCGCAGGGCTGCACCGTCGAGGTTGACTCCAAGAATATCTCGTACTCGCTGTTCAGGTGGTTGAAGTTCCTCTGCACGACCGGCTTCAGGCTGCCTCTGGATATCAGGTACAACTTGCCGGCCTCGACCTGGTCGAAGAACTGGTCGGCCACCGCATTGAAGCAGGTGACCCTGATCTCCCCTCCCTCCGAGTCGAGCAGGTCAAAGGAGAAGACCTTGCCCTCGCCCCGGGGATTGCTGTAGCGCCGAAGATCCCCCTTGGAGGTCACCCGAGCTCTGATCGTCCACCTCCCCTGGTAAGGATTCAGGGAAGCGATCGGGACTATGCGCGGCGGCGCTTCGTTCTTCGCTATCGGGCCCCTGTTAGAGTATAACGCCGGCTGCAGCACCTGTTGATATGTCGGCTGGATCTGACGGCCGTAGCTGTTGCCCGGTGGTCGGAATCCCCCGGGGCTCTGGAACCTCTGGTTTTGATTGAGATTCTGAGGTTCCGGGTCTGCTCTGTGGTACGAGGAAGGTGCCCCATAGCTCAACGAGCCGCCACCGTAGGGGCTGCTGCTGCTATTGTTGTTGTTCATCATCAGAGGCTCTGCCCTGGGCTTCAGACTGTTTATGCTGCTCAGACCTGGAGCTGCACTGTCATGGGGTGGCGGGCCTGCACCGGTGGTCGTACCAGGTGGCTTATCTGTTATTGATGCTGGCACCGGTGGTTGCCCTTGTGAGGCAGCACCGGTACCATCGTAGATTCTTGGCTCCCCAATGGTATTGCATTTTTCGAGTATGATCTCCAAGCTGAGAACAATGATGATCCTGTTCAAAGCAGAAATGAGACTCGCATAAGCCCAACCACATGGCAAGGGGAAGTAACGCTGCCATAATAGTGAAACATGCGTCCTCTAAGCTGTGATTTCTAAAGGGCATCAGAATTCTATTAACATTGCCCACACATCTGTAGAAAACCCAAGATGAGGCAAATAATAATACCGTGATGTGACTTCCCAAGAGAAAGCAACCTGGTTACGAAAGCGTTCTCAGCTAGTAAAATCGAAATGCAAACTCTCACTTTTTGGGTAACACCGACCTACATATCCATACGAAAGGAAAGGATGCGTTCTTTGTCACATCATTGATTTCTTTCTTTGACAGATAATTTTCTCCTAGATCTGCATGACAACACAGACCTGATGCATTCTCGCTCCCCACCCACCCAGCAGTTGAATATTTGCACAAACAAAGACCAGAAGACCATCCGAATTTCACGAGTGATGGGACAAACACACAATAAATTAAATAGGCATACAGACGCAACAAGGATTCCACACGCCACAGATGATGACCATGAAACAAAGATGGCAGTGCACATGACAGAACGACATATTTTTGCGACATATGGCAGACATTTCCAAACGAATGTGTCTTTTTGGAACATGCAGGATATAAGGACCTTGCTGACCGGTCCGCTTATTGTATTTTTCCCCCCACACTCTTAAAGGGAACAGACATAAACATGTAGAACAAATTCAGCAGCCCACCTGGTTATTTTTTTTCATATGGTAGTACTTACAGAGACGCACCAAGAACATTTTTCTCATGCACAAGTACCCTAAAGACAAGAACAAGCATACCCTGAATTGATCTAAGGACCATAACATTGATTATCAAGCTAATTCAAAGATCTCTCTGGCCAGATGCGAACAGAAAACTACCAAGGTGGATGAACAAGTGGTAACAGAAACATTCCAGCGTCACAATAGTTTACATAGTAATAACAAACGACTCCATCCATTGGAGTGGGAAGGACGAGTTAATATCTAATTTCGAGAACAAGCAATACAATCAAAAGCCATAAAATGATAACTAAGATTAAAAAAGAAGAAGCAATATATACTTCATCAAGAGGGATGATGCTGTCTAAACGAGAAGTGGACCTTGAAAAAAAGAACACCTAAAGACTCCAGCAGAGCACGAAACTTACACTTAATAATAGATCCGAATTTGGCACAGTATATAACATGTTACATCCATGCAATTGGCATATAACCATTTCAATTTGGTTTTTCAACATTTTTCAAATTTGACGAGGGCGAAGAACCCAAAATTACCAACGAAAAAACGAAATAACCGGTTCCATTCATCCCAAGGAAGTAAAATGCATAGAGCCTTTACCGAATACCTCCGCCCCACACACACATACACACTACATCACCACAAACCTCCCAACCCTTCCTTTAAATAAGGTAATAAATTAATCAAATCGACGATCGACGACTAAAAAGCATCCAACATACACAACTGGTTGAAAAATAACCATTAAATTAGTGCTCACTGACGACCATCCAATTAACCAAATCATCGCCTTCTATTTTGACACATAATTTTCTCCCACTGTTATATTCGGCTCTCAAGAATCTAAGAGAACAATATGTAATGTAAGGAAAAGATATGTCAAGGGCGGACTTACTTGCGGTTCTGAATTAGGTTACAGATGAATTCATTCAACTGAACGACCGAGCCTTTCTGCAGCTGTCCCGACTTGACCATCGGATTCATCTGTGTGGCCAGCATCGCCTGCTGCGCGTGCACTCCATCCGACAGCACCATCCGAAACCGCTCCGTGGTGTTCTGCACCGTCTGCACCAGCTTCAAGTCCACCACCTGTAGAACCGGCTTCATCCCCTCCGCACCTCCATTGGTTATATCCGCAATCGCCCCCCTCGTCAGGCTCACCCCCTCCATCTCCCCCACGCCTCCCTTCGCGTTCCGCCCCCTTCTCAAATGGATCAAAATCCAACGGGACGCAAGGAAAGCACAGAAAAACTCTCAGAAATGGGAATCAACGCATTATCTCCAGAGCAACCTCGCAAGCACACCGACGATCGACCTCCCCGAGCTCCCAGATCCAGGAGCCCAGAGCGAGCAGATGCCGAAGACGATGGAGTTCGGAGAAGCCCTAGAAGGGCCTTTTCAAGTCTGCAACGAAAATTCGCCACCCGCGAGGCTATGCCAATGGCGGGAAACAACTCAAATGACGTATATGTCCCCTAGACACTGCGACGTGTCAAGGGCTTCGCCGTATTCACTATTACTATCTCTCTTGGGTCTTAGCGGGCCACACGGCCTAGGATTTCTAGTTCCAACTGATCCTTGCAGAGATTATCAGATCTCCGTTCATTACTTTTTCACTCTCCGGGCCAACGTGGAAAATGTCGTTTTTCCCTCTCAATTAAGTAATAATTACTAATTAAGCGATAAAAAAATATTAATCAGATATTATCACTTTATTTCATGTAGGTTTGCTGGATCATTTAGCAAAATACATGATGGGGATCCTATCATGGAGTGTGGGGATCAATGATTTTTTTACTATATATGTATATATACTGCCAAATAATTTATATATAAAATAAAATAAAATAAAATATTAGTTTTATTATGGTCTTCAATGTTAGGTTTAATCATATGCTAAAAATTATAGGGTAACCATGGTTGAGAACATTACAATTTTAGTATTTTGGTTCAGTATTTTTTTATGAGTTAAATATTGAGCATATTTTAAAGTAAAATACCACTTGGGCCACATGGGTGTATTTTTCTATAATTTATGCAAAATATTAATTTATCAGGTAATAACACAATATTCTAGAAGGTTAACATGATAAAATGGATGATTATTTTGGGTTATGCTGGCATTATGTATTTCGTGAGGGTGAATCCAATAATGTCGCATCAGGTAAATAGGCAATTTTTTAGGGTAAAATGGTTAATTTGGTCCGCGTCTTTTCCCGCGATCTGGACCGTCCGTATCGCAGATCCCAAAGTGCATCTCACCACTGCTAAGCAACCCCTAGGGTTTTATAAGCGAGATGGAAGATGAGGGGGAGGCAGCGGAGTGGGGCGGTGGCGGTGGCGGCGGAAGGTAGATTTGCTTTGCTGCAAGGTGAGGTCTCCCTCCTCGGTGTTCTCTTGTCCTCGGTACTTCGTCGCTGAGGATCCCTCTATGTTATTCTGTAATCCTTCCTCTTCTTCGTGTTTCCCCGGAGATCCGGCGGAACTGTTCGTCGTATTGAGATTTCCGACTATCTATCGGTCTGCGCACGCGGAGGGTATGCGATGGTGATACCCCAGGGTTAGGATAACAGAACCGATGTTCTGGTGTGATTCCGTGAAATATTCGTCAGATCAGATCGAGCATATGGTTTCCTGCAGCGATGTTGCGAGTTCCAGTGCCTGTTTCTGGATCTAGGGTGGGGCGTATTGTTCTTACAGGATCGAGCCCTTTGATTGGGCCAATCTCGGTTGGAGCCACTCCTGTTAGCCGAGGCTCTGCATCGCAAACAGGTTTTTTAGCTAAGGGACGTGGTAGACGAAGTAGATGAGCTATCGGGCTTGCATCTGTGATGATCCCCTACAGGATATGTAGTGCAGGCTGGGAACGTGGATTTTTGGGATGTTAGGTAATGGTCCTCGTCTTTTGTCGGATGCTGATCAGGTCTTCTTCGTCCACAGGTAAGGCGCCATGGTGAAGCATAACAACGTCGTGCCGAATGCTCACTTCAAGAAGCACTGGCAGAACTATGTCAAGACCTGGTTCAACCAGCCTGCCCGCAAGACCAGAAGACGCAATGGTAGGCTGTTCCTGCTCGATTCCCCTCCTGAACAGTCGTCTGATGTTTCTTTCCGTCTTTAGTATTCTACTGGTTTCGGCGACGTCATTAACATTTCCATGTCGTCATCGCAGCAAGGCAGAAGAAGGCCGTGAAGATCTTCCCCCGCCCGACGTCTGGACCGCTGCGTCCTATCGTCCAGTGCCAGACTCTCAAGTACAACATGAAACCCCGAGCAGGGAGAGGCTTCTCTCTCGAGGAGCTCAAGGTACGAGAGTAGTATCTTCTTGTTTCTATATTTCCTTCCGTTTGCATCTTGGCCATGAATGAATTATAATTAACCACCGAGACTTCAGGTTTTAAGTTTTCCAGTTTTCCGCTTCAAAGTTCGTAAGGAATCCATCGATGGCCTGGTTCTCCCCCGCAGAGCAGCTTATTTATGATCTGTGTTATGTTTCTCCACAGGGCGCAGGAATCCCCAAGAAGCTCGCCCCAACCATCGGCATTGCAGTGGATCACCGCCGCAAGAATCGCTCCCTGGAGGGCCTGCAAGCCAATGTCCAGAGGCTGAAGACGTTCAAGGCTAAGCTCGTGATCTTCCCAAGGCGTGCGGGCAAGTTCAAGGTAACACAAAAAGGGATGTTCTTATACGTAGATTTGCTAGATCTTTTCTGGTGATCTGCTTCAACGGTTTTTTGAGCAACATTTTCTGATCATCTGCGCATTATAGGCGGGTGACTCTGCCCCCGAGGAGCTTGCGACTGTGTCTCAGGTCCATGGCGAGTTCCTCCCCGTTGAGGGAGGGAAGCCCTCTGTGGAGCTCGTGAAGGTGACCGACGAGATGAAGGCCTTCAAGGCGTATGCCAAGATCCGAGTTGAGCGGATGAACCAGCGCCAGGTCGGCGCGAGGTTGAAGAAGGCCGCCGAGGCGGAGAAGGAAGAGAAGAAGTAGAACGGTGCACACGATTTCGCCCCCCCCCCTTCTGGTTTCCCCCCGTTCCTGTCTCATCTTCCCCCCGAAAACCATGCAAGTTCGTCGCAATCATCTTCGTCATCGTCATCTCTTGAATTAGCTTCCTTCGAAAGGACTATCAAACTTTGCTCTATCTAGTTACTTCCTTCAGCTTGCCTTGCCGATAATGGTTCTCTCTCTCTCTCTCTCTCTCTCTCTCTCTCTCTCTCTCTCTCTCTCTCTCTCTTTCTCCCTCACTCTCTCGCTCTGATCTTCACCTTTCGTGCTCCCGCTGCTCATCCGTCCGGAGAATTGGGAGATGTGAAATGCTACTACACGTTGAAATGGAGATGGGAATACAGAGATAAGAAGTTGTAGAGGGAAGAGCTAGACATGGCACGACGTGGTATGGGAGGTACTCAGCGATCTCGAGAGGAGTCTGAGGGGTAGCATACACCCACACCAGCTTCACTGGTTTTTCTTTTCTCGTTGAGGAAGGGGGAGAAACGGGAAGGGGGGTGGGTGTGGTGTGCTGTGATCTCCGGCGGGCCGGGGAGCTCAGTTGGAATCGGTGACGGCGGCGGCGGCGGCGGCCTTGCTCTCGAGGGCCTCGTCGCGCTTGGCCTTCTCCTTCTCGAGGAGGTAGATCTGCTGGGCGTCGGGCAAGGAGACGAGGATGGCGTGCATGCGGGTGTTCATCTCCTCGATCTTCGCCATGAGCGCGTCGTTGGTGAACATCCCCATGAACACATTCTCGATCGTCTCCCAGCTCTCCTTCAGCGGCAGCACGATGATCACGGCCGACCCGATCGTCCCCCACGCGATCGCGATGATCGCCCAGAACGTGAAGTACCCCAAGCTGTACTTCCCTGCACAGACCAAGCAGAAGAAGCCCTTAGTTAGAGAGAGAAAGGAAGAGAGAGAGAGAGAGAGAGAGAGAGAGAGAGAGATGGTTATTGTCTGACGTACGGGCGGGGAGGGAGAGGAGGGGCCAGAGGACGACGATGATGACGGTGAAGAGGAGGCCCCACTTGATGATCCAGCGCTTGGCGTGGACGAGCTTCTCCTCCTTGAACTCCTCGTCGGGGAGGTCGCTCTTGTCCTGCTCCACTGTGGTGATCTGCTTGGAGGACTCCCAGTTGTAGTTCTGCGGGCGGGCGAAGCTGAGGACGGCGTGGATCAGTCCCCCGGAGAGGATGGAGACGAGGTTGCCGGCGAGCATGGGTGCGTTGCGCCCGGTGGTGTCGAGGTTCACGCGCCCGTACTGCACCTTGGTCACGGAGAGCCAGGTGATGACGCCGAGCAGGCAGCCGGAGACGGTGCCGGCGATGGCCCCTGTGGCGTTGGCCTTGCGCCAGAGGAGGAGGAAAGCGATGGGCATCACGGCGGAGCCGATGAAGACGCCCATGGCGAGGTACATCCAGCCGAGGGACACGCCGGCCTTGTTGAGCAGCACCGCCAGGACCCCCATGAAGCATCCAAAGAGGAAGACGATGACCCTCGAGACCTTGAGGATCTGCTTCCCGTCTGCCTTCGGGTTGATGTACGTCCGGTAGATGTCGTACGTGCACAGCGACGACACCGCGATCAGCTCCGCCGACCCCGCCGAGGTCACCGCCCTGAATCACCCGGCGCCAACACCACCGTCAGGATTCATTAAAAAAGATGGCTTATTTATTCAGAGGGAGATCCTAGAAGGAGGAGCAGGAACCCTGGAAGAAGAAGAGCATAGGGGCGCTTACATGAAGAGCATGGTGAGGAGGAGGATGGAGCCGCCCTTGCCCATGAGGGCGATGGCGGTGGCGGGGGGGACGAGGCCCTGGTCAGCCTCGAACTTGGTCAGGGGGAGGTCGAGCGCCACAGCCCCCAGCCCCAACGACGTCGCCAGGGAGAAGGGCACCGCGAACCAGACCAGTCCCCCCAGCAGGTACCCTTTGTGGGTCGACGACGGCCTCGCCGCGATGGCACTGATCCAGTAACCCTGCGCCACCACCACCACCAGAAATAATATAAGGGTTTCCTCTTCTGATTCCTCGAAAAGATTCAGGGAGTCGCAGAAGAGTTGCAGGGAGGGAGAGTTTACGTTGTCGACGAAGACGGTGCCGAAGTTGCCGACGATGTTGATAATGCCGAAGACGAGGCCACCGGAGCTGAGCATGGTGGCGTAGGTGCCCTGGAAGTTGCCGCTCACCGGGCCGCAGTTCTGCCCGGGGTGGGTGAGCGGCTCCTGGCACACTCGATTCCGGCTGGAGGCCTCCAGGAGGCGAGTGTACACCACCTTTGGGCTCCCGAGATCGCTGTTCGAGGTGTAAACCAGAAAGATGAAGATCACCAACGCGATGTGAACTGTCAGGAGGAAGACGACGATGATCAGAGACAATCTAAAAACCCTAAAGCCGTAAAAACCTTGACACTGACAAGAAGACGAAGGAGGGAGGATGGATGGGGAGAAGCAGACTTACCGATGACGGAGTGGATGTAACTCGCGAGGAAGGTGGCCTTGAGGCCTCCGGCCAGCGTGTAGACCACCACGCCGAGAGGGATGAGGAAACTCGCGGCGTAGATGTTGACACCGGAGAGAGCGTTCACGACGGCGGAGCCGCCGAGGAGGAGCATGGCGGTGACGATGATGTTGGTCATGAAGCAGAAGATGAGGAAGACGATGTGCGCCGCCGTTCCCCACCTGCCCAAGGAAGAAGAAGCCCCGGTTTGGTTTCACACTCGCCCTCTCCCCGATTGCGCCATGAAAGACGGGAACTTTATCTCTCTTACCTCGCCTTCACGATTTCGCAGACGGTGTGAGCCCCCGGCGCCTTCCTCTTTATCTCTATCGCCATGACTCCAAACAGAAGCACCTGCTCCACAGGAACTAGGAGGATTACACACCCTCCTCCCCCTCTACCAAGGAAGGGTTCGTGCAGAGAGAGAGAGAGAGAGAGAGTACAGACCTGAATGGTAGCACCACTGGCGTACCAGAAGGGGCCGCTGATCCCATACTGCCAGGCGACGTTCGAGCTTTGCAAGATCGTCGCAGCCCAAGTCCACTGCAACACCAAATCGAGAGAAGAAAAATAACCAAATTATTCACTGATCTTACTCTAAAAACGGAAAACAAAATAAACTCATTATTATTATTATGATTATTATCATTACCTGGGAGACGATAACGCTGGCAATCAGCCCCGTCTTAACGTTCCTACCAGCTGTGTTGAACCACTCCGAGGTGTGGCGAGCTCCAACATAACGCTTCTCTATCCAGACCTGAGCACGCGGGCAGACAGCAGCAGGAAAATCAGCGGGAAGAAAGTCAGCAGAAAACCCTTCGGATTTTGTCCATTTACCGCAGTCATTAGTCGCCCATGGGAAGAGATCTTAGTCGAGCTTAGCTACTGCCCGAGAAGGTCGGTATAGGGTTTTATGCGGGCCCTCGTTGACCATGGATCGTTGGGACCGGCTCAAAGAGATTTGAAAGTTCCTTCGGTTGACTTTTCTAAAACTATAACTTATTTGCTACTGTAATAGTCGCATAAAATGTAAATAACACATCTATGGAGTTATTTATCAGTAACATATCTTATTCGCTTAATTTATTTCATCCGTTCCAATCATATATTAATATTATTATTACTACTATTATAAAATGATTTGGACACCCAATAATGACGATGCTGATGTGAAGGAAACCCCAAGTGGGGTGAGGAACCAATGAAATTAACGATGACAGGGGCATAGTTTTCATCGTATTTCAATTACTAGAAAAAAGAATATGATTATTTTTCCTAAAAAATAATGCACCTAATACGAGGCAAAGCATAGCAGAGATAATGAGATAATACCTCAAAAAAATATATTTGCCCCTAAATAATAATCTGAGTATATTTCGGGTCCGGTTGACTTTCCTAGACAGCTCTCGTTGAAAACTAAGAGCGAACACTTACCAACGCAGGATTGTTGACCAGAAAAAATTGAAGAACATTAAAATATGACCAGCCACCTTTTTTTAATATCAAAGAGGGATACTTGGGATATTTTGAGGACCCCTCCTCTCTCTCCTACCCACACCCTCCCCCTCAAAAGCCGGATCAGGTGTTGAAGAACGGCCCTCGCCCGGTATTAACAATGGGGGAATTGACAACCAGCAAGTGGATCGACTGCACAGCCACCCACAGATGCGCTGACTATGGAATATATAAAGTCCAAGGCCAAGATTCAACCCCCACCTGCCTTCTTACGTAGGAGCCCTAGTTGTGGGTTAAGGTCAACGGGTACGGAAGAGCTACTCGCTGTTTTATAGGAGAGGTGTGACGATATTTTAAACTCTTTGTCAAGTTGCGATTTTGTATTGATTTACAGAAACCTCCCCCATCAGGGGAGTGTCTGATCAACTGTCATAGACCTGTGTGGGCTACTACTTTTGCTCAAATGTAATCTTGGACAAGATGAACTTGACTTGGACAGATGTTATGTTCGACGTAATGCTCGAACCAGGGAAAACCTACACCGATGTTGCCTGGTAGATGATGCCCAGAATTCCTCAGAGGCTCTGGCCCAGGAAGAAGGCCGGAAGAAGGCAGGAGCACCCGATCCCTACTGCTCTTCCTTTCCAGCCCTCAAGCCGCGGGAAGGAAAGCTCTCCCAAACAAACAGGAAATCCCAAGGCAACCGCAGCCTGTACTCTCTCACAAGACCAGGAAAGAATCGGATGGAAAGGAGGTTGGAAGGTGAGGGACGGAGGTGGGGCGTGGCGCTCACCAGGAACGAAGTGAAGAAGGCGAAGAAGGCGCCGAAGCCCAGGATGACGGAGTATCCAACGCCCTGGTTGAGCACCGCCTTGCCCCCGAAGAAGCTGGAGTCCCGCACGCATGTCCCGTTGGACAATAGCGTGTAGTACTTGCCGGAGTGCCCGATGGGAGGGCAGGGGGCGGCCATGGCAGCGTTCGTTCCCACCCACACTACGAACGGCCTTCTCCTCCTCCTCCTCCTCCTCTGTTCTCCTCCTTCTCCCTTCCTGAAGCGACCCCCGCCGTACCTTGGGGCTTTATAACCTCGCGGGGTTGCCGTCGCCGGCGAAAGCTACCCGCCCAGAAGTCAAACGAGGGTTAAAGAATCTGCAACTGGGGGAGGGGAGCCAGGGGGACCGATGGATAGTTGGCCACGGCGGCGGCGAGGAGACGTCGCCATCGCCGAAGGTGGGCGCCTGCGTTGGCTCCGGCCAGGGAACCCTTTAACAAATCCCTCCTCCTCCGCCGCCGAGCGTGGACCAATTCGACCGTCGACGGCGACGGCGACGGGTGGCCCTTGGGATCTCCTGGAGGTTCTCCACTCCCCCGCTCCTCCGCGGATGCGATTCCCGCCAGAGAGAATCCTGGTGACGGCGGAAGGGGATTTCTAAATTCGGAATCTGAATTTGGGAGAAGATTCATATTCCGCCGGTGACAGAGAGAGAGGCCCACTTGCGGGGGCCTGACGTGGTATCGGAGAGAAAGGCAGCGATTTTCCGACTAAACAAACGATTCCTCCCGCCATCTTCGCGCACGCCACAGTTGACAACTCCTCTGCGGATTACGACGGCATGACGCCCTCCCGCACATGCATGACAGAAAATATCCGGGGTCCTTTTCCCGCCCACCACGCCGAGACGGGCCGGGGCTCGGGCCATGCTCGAATGCCCCCCCCCTACCGGCCCTTAACAGGGCCGCAACATGGACGCCTCTCATCTCCTCATCCGCCTGGCTTCCGTGAGAGCCGGCGATCCACCCACCCCTCCACTGGGCATTTCATTATTATTTGAGATGTGAACAAGCGCTCCGTATCATACGACATGTACTTGGAATATTTCTGTCAAATAAATATTCCGTGTTGCTGCAAACGATATATATATATATTATAAATCCAGCGAAAAGCTAAAGTTTGGGAGGTGGAGCCCATTCTGTTGCCCTCTTACGAAGAGAGAGCCCAGATTTGGAAACTTACTGTCTAGCCAAGCTAGGTGTTTACATCGCATTTTCAACGTGTTGTCGAATAACGGATTAAGTCTATTTAATTATGAAAATATAAATCTGAGACAATCGCATAAATAGAAGCTGGAATCGCCAAATATATATATATATATAAATGGGCCTGTCAGTGGTCCACGTGTTCTTATGAATTTGGAAGGGGATTTCATGAGAGAGAAAAAGGCTTGAAGAGGATACGGACCATTTGACTCACGCCTTGGGTGTCGTGGTAGAGGACACTTTAAGAATCAATTTTGGAAAGTTTAATTCGTTGAAGTTTGGGATATATATTCATTGAAGTTGGGAAATATTAATTCGTTGCTGTTTACACCAATGATATTTATTGATTCATGGATATATCAAAATGTCAACCAATGCACCCCCTTGAAAGAAATAACTCTATGGTTTATCTTTTCATCTGTCATCATAAAAATTAGTTACATATTGATTTCTCGTAAGAATAAAGACATGTCGTATTAATTTTCTAGTCATTTGAATTTCAAAATACTTATTAAAATATGGCTATTGAGAGATAAAAAATATAGAATTGGGCAGGATTTCTATAAATAATACAATTATCTTTCTGGCAGCTAATTAGAGTGGAATGATCATCCCCAATTCCTTCACTAAACCTCAGGAGTTGTATCGAAGCTTTTGTGTGGAAAAATATGAGAGAAATTGTAAAGCTTTTGCTAACTAGTCACATACTGCATGACGAGATCAAGTTAAAGATTATTTATTATTCAAAAAACATTCAGCAACTATCGTTGATCATATCAAAATAGTAACACCTCTCCACAGCCCCAAATCTACTTCAATCACGAAAATATATCTTATTATTTTTTATGGGATAAATGTAAATATCAAGCTATTATTGATCACAATTATCGAGAGGTGTTTCTATTAACAAATGGTCTGACTTCTTGGAGGCATGAAAATCCAAGAGAGTTTTTGGACCACCCTCAAAGCCCAAGTTAGGCCTACTATATCTGCCAAAGTCAATAGTCAACAGATGTGGGTTCAATGTATGTGAGTCTTGTGGGCCATATCAGTCAGTCTTTCGTAGCATGGCTGCTGGTCGCTGATTCACATAACCAAGAACCCATCCCACCCGGCTAGAGTTATATGTCAGGAGAAAGGATGGCCCGAAAGCCCAAGAATGGCTTCACCTTCTGTTCTGGACTCGCCCAACTCGGATCCTTTTACTAGAGAGACAACACACGCTCCACAAGTTTAATATTTCTCCCCCCTCCCTCGCGCCCCGGCGGCCGTCGCCACCGTGCCTGCTACCGACGTGGAGAAGCTCCCTGCTGGGGCTTCCGATCGCCGCCTCCTTGTACCACCGCCTGCACGAAAAGGTTAGTCTTCCCCGTCCTTTACTCCCCCCACTCTCCCTCTCTCTCTCTCTCTCTCTCTCTCTCTCTCTTTCTCTCTCTCTCATGCACACAGAGTTTTCCTCTATGCGGACTGAGAAGTTCGACGCTCTGGGATTCGTCCATTTTTAGTGACCTTACCTGCTGGGTTTTCTTGGTGGTCGACGGAGTCTGTTTTGCCTGCTGACACGAGGGAACTGTTTAGCTTAGTGTTTCCCTCGGCTCTGCCACCACCGATAACCTTTTCTCCTGATTTGTTTTGGATCGTCGTAGTCGGGAGGGGACCCGCTTTTGTCAAGAGTTTTTAAGCTAACTATTTGGCTCCTGATTTTGTTTCCGGAATCCGCAATGTATGTGGGCGTCTACAGTTTTTTGTCCCAACTTTTCTCTGGAGGTGCAATGGACTGGGATCATTAGTTAAAATATCCAGTGAGCCACATCAGTAATATTTTATTATCAACTGGACCATTGATACTTTTGGGGTTTGAAAAATGCGTTGAGAGATACGTAAGTGACGTTGCGTGGCACTGTAATTGGACGACAGGACTATATTCATTTTTTATAGTGCTCAATAACATGGTGCCATAATATTCTTAACGTAAATCGATTCTTTCCTAGAAGTTGTCAGATGGGAAGTTTCGTGTGGGGATTTATTACTCTTTCCTTTTTATCCAGGAAGAGGAAAACGATACCCGATCATGAGTTCTGTAGCCATTATTATTTTTTCTGTTCACTTTGACTAGTCTAACAGAGAAAGAGTTTAGCCTGTTTGCCACAGCAAGATCCACTTGCAATTTTGAAGGCAGCGTTTATGCGTTTTCCAATTTAAAGGATTGCACTTGTGCTGTAATAATATATATATTTTTATATCCATAGAGACAGGGATTTTTAATTGTAAGAATCTGCAATAAAAGTCAAAAGAAAGAGAATTTTTCACTTCAAGAAGGGAATTTTTTTTTGATATTGTTTTGCCAACTGGCATGTTTCATGTATTGCAATAACAAAGGTAGCAAGCCATCATTTTGACACTACGCAAATGCTTAGAATACTGAAAGACACATTGATATGTATAGAAGTTTCCAGTTGATATGATCTGAGTCCCTGAAGTCAAATATCCATGAGTTATGTGAGTAATGAGAAGCCATACTCACGAATGTACCTTTAGTTGCCTGAGGGTCTGAAGTTTGTGGAAGCAATTCAATGCTAACAATATTCAAAGTCTTTCATTATGGCTTGTTTTCTTCTTACTTAAGACCATCTGGTGCTTCAGTGGACCAACAGTGTTTAATAAGCAAGGCACAACTGGAAGATTGTCATCGAATGATGCCTTATATTGGTGGTTAGTCGTAGTAGGTTTGTAAAATTGTGCTCAGAGATAATTCTGTCACAAGCTCCAAGGTACATCTTTGCTGTCTCAACCCAAGATGCAATATTATTCTCATTCTGTTTTGTTGTATTAATTTGTAGGTTGAGGTTGAATCTAGTCACCACCTGCCATTGTCATGATTTTGGCTCCTATATCAGGAGGTTATACGATTTCTGTGGAGCCTGTGTTTTTATTTCTGTAGAACCTCAGACTTTATGGCCCTTGTCTCCCCTGTGATGAAGGGTGAGCCTTCCATATGGTGGGCTTCATCGACCATTAGTTTCATGTAAGCATGTAGAACAAAACCTATGACATGGTGTGTAACACGAAGCATGTGACATGATGAAGGAAAATATATCTGTGCTGGCTGACATTCAGTAAAATGGTGCAAGGCGGAGAAGGTAATATACGAGACGTAATATGGCTTGTGCCACACGAGTTGGTGTGCACATAGCGTGATTTCCTCTTGGTGCAAGTTGTGAGATGAGCATGGTCTCTGTATTCAGTACAATATGGCATTTAAGCAAGCTGGCTGGAGACAACTAGGGTATTACAGCCTAGACGAGGCAATCCATGGCACTTCGACCCAAGGTGTTGAGATGGAATGTGACACCATGCCACAGGATGGTGCTATGTGGCAGTAGTCCTCACACACATAGGCTGCCAATCACTCTAGAAGGAAATCTGATTGTCACCTGGTTTACTCATGGTTAACTTCACTTCGGTTGAAGGGAAAAGGTGATGTATGTGCATATGACTTTCTGAAGAAGGGCAATAGAGGAAGAAGAGAATGGTTCAGTATCAGACCGTCAGAAGTCTGAGTCTCCATCAAAGGTTCTACACAAGGCAAAATAACAATTCAATGAGATCTACATCCTTAGTGGGGTAAAAAACTAAACTACCCCTGGTAATAAGAGCTAATATAGCCTCATAAGGTGATACAAAAGAGAAATGAACCGAACTTTTGTCAATAGTTTTTTTTCTTTTTCTCTTATGTTTGACATAATGCTTATCACTTCTGCCCTTTCCCTCATAGTGATGAGTTTTGTCACTGTGGCCTTTGTTTTTACATCTTGAACATTTACTTTGATGAATCAGGTATAAAATTACATCTTCAGTAGGATGTATGTGACTAAATTACATGGTATTTTTTCTTTGCGTTTTGTGATGTGTTTTATTTATAATTAAATATGGTATACCGAGTAATGAAGACCGTTTATCATAAATTTTAGTAAATAAATGTTGTCCTGTTCTATATTCCTCCCACACTATGATAGTTGTTGGAATATTTCTGTTTTCTATCCATAGGAGTCTATCATCTATCTTAATTCCCCAGTGAATTCCTTTCGCCCTGACAGTTATCCATTTGGCTGAGAACTGGTGGTTAAAAATGTGGAAATAACTTTAAGAAGTGTCCTTTTGAAAAATTAATTTGCATTTTGTCTTCATAACGATCTGGAACAAAGCAATGATTAATCAAAGAATTAGATCTGTTGAATGATTTGTTATTGCATAATAAATAGGGAAACAGAATATTCGCTAAATCCTATAGTAGAGAAAGGGATGTGAAAAGGAGTAGGAAAATCGAATGCTATACGAGCAGACAAATTATCGTTTTTCTTTTTTTTACATTTTTCCAGAATTGACTTTGAGAGGGGTAGGGTTTCAATGATGTTTTACAAATATGATAGTAAAGAGTCCTAGGGTATTTGTAACGTGTTTTTTCCTGAAGTGTACATTGGCGAATCCACAGGATGTTGCTATTGTACTTGAGCATCAGTTCAAGTTAAATGTATCAAATGATGTGTTTTATCAATTACTCTTGTCTAACTTTCGTGAAATGATATGCAAATCTTTTCGATCGTATTCCTCAAGAGATATTAACTTATGTATTTTTCGTTTTTACTCAGATATTATTCATTAGTGGTCCTTTCCGCTTTAAATCTCTAAATTGAAAGTTTATTTATATCTTGTTTCTTTATTATAGATTTGTTTCCAAAAGCATGCAAGTAGGGAGGGTTAGCTGTGTTGGGCAGACATTTGCTTTAGCAAGATGTAGTGATTCTCAAGGGAAAAAGCATCGCAGTCGTGTAACAAAGGAAGAGCGGAGAAAAATGGTGGAATCCTTTATAAGAAGGTAATTTTATGAAAAGTTGGAAATACTTTGTAACTTGCCTGAAATTGCATTAGTTTTTTTTGTGTTCTTTTTGTATTTTCTTGCTGTTGTTATCATTCATTGTCGTACTATCCTCTATTTTAGTACTTGAGTCATGGGATAATGACTTCTATCAACTGATTTATCCTTTTAATCAGGTATAAGGGCTCGTTCATCATACAGGTTTTTGGAATCAAATGTTGCTATTCATATGTATTATTTATTAGTTACTTTGTTGTTAATTGATGGCTACTTAAGTAGTGTTAGACTTGTGACTGGCACAGAAGAAACGGATATCATTTATTAAAATTTATCAACTCACCTTATCAGAAGCTTCTAAGAAATAATAATAAAGGTACTTTCTGGCATACTTGTATCGAAAGGTGAATGCAAATTTGGTAACATAATTTTGACCCAACTTCTCTTTCTATGAATTGAAGAATTATTACCAGAATTCTTATCCACATAATGAGGAGCTGGGTAAACCTAAAATTCTTCTAAAGTTAAAACATTAAAGTGAAAAATGTATCAGGTTCACAAATCGTGCTAGTGTTGTCTAACCTATTTGACTGAAAATTTTGTTTTCTAGCGTTCTGTTTAGACTTGTGAGTTAAGATTGATAGTACTTGTATCATCAGAGGCCGGTTCTCATGTTTCCTTCTGCAGTGTAATCCGCTAAATTTCAGGCTTGCAGTCTTGTGTAGTGGTCAGTATCTGGACAAGTAGCAAGCCACTTTTTTCTCACTTAACTTTGGACTAGGTTAAATGCTCCTCTATTTAACCTCGGACTAGACACAAATGTGCATCTGTTTTTTACCATCCACCTCTTGTACTCTGCTATATATAATCTGTCTTCTGTTGATTGTACCCCTCTTCAATGTGCTGGCTAACATAATTACGGTGATGAACGTGATTATTTGTCTGCTAGAGGCACATTCAACTCTGTCCCCTCCGTTTCGGATTCCTTTTCTTCCTGTAGTTCTCCATTTACACTCAGTGTAAAGCTACAATTTTTCATTGCTACCCGTTGTTACTATTTTTATCTGTTTCTAGCAATTCAAAGGTTAGCTCGGAGTACTTATGTGAAGTCTAACTGAAGTCCCCCTGTTCTTGTCTAGAGACCCAACTTTTAGAGGGGGTTTCGTTAATATTCTCCTGTGTTCTGCCAGTTCACAAATTAGAAGCAAAGAAGTTCTAAGGTGTTCAGAATTTTTTCTCAGCAGAACTATTTGAAGTTGTCTGGCAAACACATTTATTTATTTAGTAAGATGTAATCTAATAAAAAAGAAGAAAGCATTCCCATGTTTAAATAGTGGGACAGGAGCGCCTCCTTAGGCATTTAATACATTAAGTAATTTCCTAGGTCAAAATATCATATTATTCAGCTAGAAATTTGCTTTGACAGTATTATATCTACAATATACCCTAACAAGAGACTTACGAATGCCTTTCTTGTGTCAGTTGAGATTCTTATTCCTTCATACGAGTTTTATTGGATAGGTTTTTGTCAGTCTTTCAGCGTGTCTAATATTTTAACGTATCATCTTCTTCCAGACACAGAACTTCCAACAACGGGAATTTTCCGTCACTGAATCTCACTCACAAGGAAGTCGGTGGGTCATTCTATACTGTGCGAGAAATTGTGCGAGAAATTATTCAAGAAAACAGGGTATTGCGCCCCGGTAATTTGAATTCGCACTCAGTTGTACTTAACGATTCTGAAGAAAAAGGGCCAGAACCCTTCTCAGAAAATACATGCAATTTGCCTTTAATCACTGTTGATCCTTCAAGTATGCACAGATGGGAGGGAGCTTCTGATAGTAATCCGAATGAAAATGCAAACGGAGTACTATCAACCGTCTCATTGATATTCTCTGACCAGCATATAAGTAACAGTATCAAAGAAAATTTTGCTCTCAGCTCAACTGATATCTTACTTGCACGAGTCACTAATGAGGTTTCCGCCCAGCATCAGGAACATTGCTTGGAAAAGGCTTGTGGTCATGTAGACTCCGCAAATGAGAAATCAAAAGAGGAACTAATTGAACGAGCAGGACAAAGGCAAAACTTTTTTCCAAAACTACATGACGAGGAATCATTGTTGGAAGCTGAACTTGACAAGGAAGGAATCCATTCAAAATGTGAAGTTGGGAACGATATTGGACTTAATGAATTGTTGGTGGTGAATCCTATCTCTGGTGCTTCAGTAGCTGAAGTCAGCAGAAATTATATACTAGGAGACGACGTGAAGGTGAGATTTTCATCTGAAGAGGGGGAGAATTCTCGTGAGGGGGGCTTTGTTTTTGATAAGCCAGAGAAGCAGGCATCTCTAAGCCATGATGAAGTATCATGTTCTATCAATGCTGAGGTATACTATCCATCACAGTCTGGAGATTCGACCATCTGTGTCCCAGAACATGCGTTTCTAAAATCAGCTGGAGTTTCTGATATTTCAAAAACACAAGTTGATGACCTTTTCAGTGCAAAAGGTTCCACTATGCAAGTTGATTCAGAGACAACAGTGGACTCAGCAGAAGGGTTGTTGTCCCCTCTTCTTTCTTCTAGCGATGTTATTGGCCAGAAAAATGCAGAAAGCACCGAGGTTCCAACTTCAAATGATGCATGGTACCCGAATTCATGTGAATGTATAAAGCAGGTAATGCTAATACAATATTTTTCATTGTGCACTCGAAGAAGCCTTTCAGGGGTGTTTAGTGTGGATAAGCCTGGGGCTTTTTCCTGTTTTAATCTCATAACTTGAGAACTCAGATGCTGAAGACCTGTTACCGTAGATATTTAAGATATATATTTAAATTTGACCTCTCCCCTGCGATGTGTTCCTTTGTTCTAGGCGTGATAGATCAAATTTTGACGAAGATATATCAGCATGTATTCCAAAAAACAACTGTGGTTGATTACAAATAGTTGATTTCTCTTACTGCTGAATGTGGATAGATGCCAGTCAATGTTTAAAACAAAGCAATTTGTCTTGGTGCCTGGGGTAGGTCCTTTTTTTAAACTGTTTACTGGCAATCCATTCACAAGAAATGTTTTCTACTTTGGTACATTGTTAAACGAATCCTTCAGAAATTGATTGAATATAAACTATGTTTTACTCCTCTGAATAGGGCTGAGATCTTTACGTCATTCTTTCTTTTGTCTTCTTCTTCCTTTTATATGAACTGTGTTTGGAGTTTCGAGGTCAAGACTTCTTTAACTTCATTCTACTCTAAATAGCTTTTACACCACATGAAAAATTATTCGTATTTCTTCATATTTCCAATTCTTTTTTTATATGATGAAGCTTAGAAAAAAATTTTTATGCTACAATTATTTATTTTCTTTGACCTTTTCGTTAAAGCCAGGTATTGTGATCATATAATGTCCAACATACATATATTATAGTTCTTGATTCTTTTTGCATATTATAATCTAAGATTTACAAGCTTTGATCGTCCAACCACGACTTTTGAAGGCATCATGCCACATCATTTAAGAAAAAGTAACCCTGAATTTTTTTTGGACTTTTGTGTATGAGCCTTTGATACATGATGTTTGGAAAGTAAGATTGAGATGTTCCTTTGTAATGCATTTTTTGTTGGAATTTGAAATGCTTTGGGAACCCATGCATTCATTTCATGGTAAATATAAACTTCAGCATTTAAAAAACATAACAAAATTTACTGCTTCAGCGGTGAGGCGTCTGCCTTGGAGCCATTACTTAGTGGCGAATAGGGGCTATAGCCTTGCGCCTTGGTGAGTTTAAAGTTTAGATGAAATTCAAGCATTTTATTTTTATTTAAACCGTTCTTTCTGTGGGGTTTGATTAGTCCTCAATAATAACTTAAAACTCATTCAAAGTGTCTACAGACTATTGCCTTACTAACTTGGTCTTTCTAAAACTTGGAGAAAATTTTAGTGTAGGAATGTTGGGTCTATTCTTTGTTATTATCCAAGGCATATCTTAAGGAATGCTCAGACACCTGTTACTTAGCTAATGCAAATTCTTGCTCTCAAATTACGCCAGTTTATCAAATAATTTCTTTTTTCAACGATTTTCTTTTCAATCTAACTTAAATTTTTTATATTTAATGAGAATATTTATCTTAATTGTAAGATTTTACTAAGCGAATACATATATATACTCATATTATTTGTCACCTATTGTCAAATACTTTTTGGCTAAACCTTGTTCTTGAGGTGTTAGAAGTTATGTTCTCTTTTTCTACGGTTTGAAGCTTGTTCAATTAGATTAGTAAGCTGTCTAAGTGGTAAGCGGTGATGGATGTGTAATTGTTGTCTCTCATTGTTTTATCCCTTTTGACTCGTAGATTGTTATTTATCTCATTTAACTTTTGAAAACTTATTTTCCGTTTATAAATTGCGTTTAATCTCAATCTTTTCGTGTCTTTGGCCTCGTCATTTGTTCCAGTATTTGTGGACCTTCGGAGCTTGGTTCTTTTGTTATCCAAATGTGGAGTCATCTTCGTTCTTCATCAGTCTTTTTTCCTCGTCAGTCTATCTTTGAAATTCTTGCGGCCAGTAATTCCTTTCATATTCGTTTTTTCTCTCCTATGTGGAGCCACATAACTTAGCTTTTAACCGGTTTATAAGTCATTATGTTCTTCAAAACTTTAAACAGCAATGATATCTGGAAATTTCCAAACTTTGTGCAGCCTTCAGCATCACCTGATGGTCTACGTAAGGAGGTGGTGCCCTCAATAGGCAATCTTGCCTCCGAAGAATCCGGGTACAAAGATTGCTACAGCAGCTCTGGCACAGGAGGGCAGTTGACTTCTGGTGGGAGCAACAGGTAGTCCTGACCTCACTCAGAAGAATCTCTGCCTCTAGGATACACTGAAATCGGTGGATGAAGAACTCAGTTCATTTAAGAATAAATACCTCCATGGAAACAAAGGTTGGAAAAAATTAGCTCTAATTCTTACTGTTTTTTAAATATACGGGAGGGATATAGTAGATTAAGCCTTGGGATTATGGGCCAGTCACCTCAGCAGAAACCAGGTAGCCAAACCCAGAATACTTCCACCCAGGTGTCTCAGCCAGCAAACCTGAGTCCCGGGCAGTTGGCTAAAAGCCGGTCAGACCCTGGCTGTGGCCAGTATATTCAGCCTAAACTGGCCAAGGGTTGATTCAGACCCAGCCCATTTGGGTAAGGGTTTGGTTCTGAAACAAAAACCTATCTGCTTTTAATCCTCGAGAATTATGCCTCCTCATGCATGGTCTCGCTTTTCAGGGAATCATCTGAGGCCGAACAGAAGAAGCATTCCGAAGCTAATTCACTTTGGGTAATCATCAAGGGATTTGCCACCGCTTTTATCAAGTTTTGGATAGAATAGTTCCCGAAACAAGTGGACAGCAATGCCAGTCTGTAAAATAGGTTCAGGTCTGAGAGAGGACATGCTGGAGTCTTCCCAAATCTTTAATTCATTCATCGTCTCGTAGCACTCTTCTGTTTCCTCTTCCAGTTAAAATAGCATGCTGAAGATTAATAGGGAGTGTACTGTCTTGGGCTAATTATTATCTCAGATGAATAGACATTATTTATTGTGTGGTAACTTTTACAGTAAGGTTTGAAAATTAGTGGTCTTCTTATCAACATGTTTATTATTCACATCTGCCCTACACTAGTTCAACTAGGAAGGCGTTCGACCATAGCAGCTCTCCACCTGACAGCACCATCATTTGATGCGCTTATTTCTAACACTGGCCCTCCCTACCTTTTTGCTTTATTTGATGATAGCTTAGGTGTGCATCACCATATACTACCCCCCACGGCAATTGCACTGGTCGTTGCACTACTTTTGCAGTATTATCCTCATTTCGTAATAGAATTCTTGCATTAACAAACAAAGCAATATGAGCTATAAGAGCTTGTTGACTAGTTCCTACCTTCTCGCGGAAGGGAAAAATGGAACTTTATTCAAAGCACATGAGGGAAAAATTCTTTCAAGATTTGTTTACAATGAGAGTGGGTTGATTATTTATAACAAACTTGTGGGAGAAGGTTCTAGACATAGTCTTATATCTCAAGACATACACAATATGTACTAATGCAGTATTTACGCAATATTTCAACACTCTCCTTCAAGCTAGTGAGTGGATATCATCCATTCCTAACTTGAGAGCACTTGTTGTAGTTGTCCTAGAGACACTCTTTGTCAGCAAATTAGTCAATTGATGTTGAGTGGAGATGTAGGGAATATATATCTCTACATGCTTTGTGCAATCATGTTGAATTAGATTGTGCACAAGATTGATTGTAGATTCATTGTCACAGTAAAGCTTCATATGACCTGAAAATAAAATATTTAGGTTAGAGAGTAAAATTTTCACCCAAAGTAATTCACACATTTCATGCATAAGTGCTATGAATTTTGCTTCTGCACTTGAGCGAGAAACAACATTATGTTTCTTGTTGTGCCAAGTAACCAAATTTTCTTCCAAAAACATCATAAGATTGTATGCAGACTTTTTGATATCTTTTAGAAGATCTGTCACATACTTTTGTTGAGAGATGAATATGCCCTTAGAAGAATGAGCCACCTCAATGCCTAAAAAATATTTAAGACGGCCCAACATCTTGATATGAAATTCCTTGGCAAGATATTTACTCAATTTTTCTTATTTAATGTCATCACTTTTAGTAATTATAATGTTGTCAACATAAGACTTGGAGTATAGTAACTCCTCTTGATGAAATATATTTGAAAAATAATGTGTGATCAGCATTACTAAGACAATAACCAAAGTTTGTCATGATAGTAAAAAAAAATCTAAATGATGTGTATGGAGACTATTTCAATCTATACAATGACTTTCTTAGTCTACAAACAGTGTTAGATGGTAAATGTCCTCTATAACTAGGTGGATAATATATATATATACTTCATCAGTAAGATCCCCAAGAAGAAAGTCATTCTTCACATCATATTGTTGGATATTCCAACTAAAAATAGTAGCTGATGACAAAATAATTATGATTGTATTCATTGTTGTCACATGAGAAAAAGTTTCATGGAAGTTAATTCCATAAACTTATATATATCATTTTGTTACAAGTTTGGCCTTGAACCTTTCAACTGATCCATCAACATTACATTTTATAGAATAAACCTATTTATAGTTAATTGCTCATTTATCCTTAGGGAGAGGTACAAGTTGCCATGTATTGTTTCTCTCAAGAGTATGCATCTCATCATCCATGACTTATTTCCACTCTTTCTTAGAGAGAGCTTTTGAAATATTAACTAGAATAGTAATATTGTCCAAGGTAGCGAAAAAAGTTCTATAAGATGAAGAAAATTTATGATAGGAAATAAAGTTTGTTGAAGGGTATAATAGGTGTTTTATACAAGCCCTTGGAGGTTTCTTAAGGATAATAAGAAGGTCATTAGATTGGGGAATGGTAGGATTTCCTATAGGGATAAATGTGATTTTTTGGTCATTAATTAAGGCCAGTTCAAGGTCTTGGGCTGATCTAGAATTTGAAGGTACTTGTGTCCTGAAATAAACCTGACCAAATATGAGTTTTTCAAGAAGTGGAGAAGAAAGAGATGAACTTTGGTTAGGCACATGAATTGGTAGAATAATTTAACTTAGAAGAGAAGAAACTCCTTACGGGGAAAAATTAAGTAAAGGTGGAAATGCCAAAGATATTTCTTGAGAATTTTCTGGGAATAAATAATAGATTAATGAAAGGTACACATCTATATTTTAAAATAATTTTTGAGTTGATGGATGACAACAATGATACCCTTTTTGAGTAATTGAAAATCCAACAAACATACATTTGAAGGATCTTGGATTTAATTTACCTTTAGCTAGATTATGATTATGAATGAATGAGACATTTGAATGTGCAAGGCTCTAATGAGATATGAATATGATTAAGAGGGAAATAAGAAGCTAACTTCTTCATAGGACTTTGAAAATCCAAGGTTCTAGTGGGAAGACAATTTATTTAATATGTTGCTGTTAAGATAGCTTCACCCCAAATTTTTTTGGGTGCACTCACATGAAACAAAAATGATCATCTAACCTCTAAGAGGTGTTGATTTTTTCTTTCTGCTAATTCGTTTTGTTGAGGAGTGTAAACACTTGAAGACTTGTGAATGACACCCTCAGCCTGAAGAAAGAAATTCCAAACCATTGTTGAAGTATTCCTTAGCATTATCTGACCTGAATTTCTTTTTAGGATTATCAAATTAGGTTTTGATCACTGCACAAAAATGTTTTAGTGCAATTGAAACTTCAGATTTTTACTTAAGAAGAAAGACCAACATGCAATGGGTGCAGTCATCCATAAAAGGAACAAACCATTTATTACCTAGTAGATCTATATTGAGGCATAGTCCCCAAACATCACTATGGATGCAACATAAATGTATCTCACTCTTTTCATTTTTAATTGGAAAGAAAATAGAGTATGTTTGAACAGTTCATATATATCATACTTAAGTGTTTTTATAGACATCTTTTGAAACAAAGCAGGAAGAAAACTCTTCATAACAGCAAAATAAGGATGGCCTAATCTTTGATGAAGGAGCTGAATGTGACTCAGATCTTTGTGACGTCCTAGAGTTGGATCCACTTCCATAAGATAAGTTTGACTAAATCCCTCAAAGATGTAAAGTGTCTTCATTCTCTAGCAACTCTAATCCCCATTTCTAGACCTTATCAAGGATAATAAAAAGATCTTTGTCAAATGGGGCATGATAAAGTGTGTTTTTAACAAGGCTTTTTACATAAATAAGGTTGGTGAAAAGTTTGAGAACATGGAGAATTTTGATGAGGATTCCTAAAGGTTCAAGAGTGAGGTCTTGAATCCCAACAACCATGAGAAGTGTATCATCAATAGTATACACCTTTTGGTCATTGGAACATGGAGTGTAGTTAATGAAATGATATGATGAATTTGTCATATGATATGTTGCTCTTGAGTCTATTGCCCAACATTTAATAATATCTTGGGATGGAGCTCGAACACAAGGAGAAGAGTGAAACTCACCAATTTGATGACTTGTTGATGGCTGTGAAAGTTGTGTTGCCATTGCCTTCAATTGCTCTAATTCAAGGTGAAGTTTCTCTACTTTGCTTGATGGAGTTGAATCAATATTTCTTGGCTTTGTTTGTTCAGACTTTTGATTGAATGAAGAATCAGTCACCATGCAAAATTGATTCACTCAATTCTTAAAATTCCATGGTTTATCATGGAGTTTATAATATTACTCCTTGGTATGACAAGGTTTTCTACAATAGGTGCACCTTAGATTATTTATAATCATTTTTTTAGTTCTTCCCTTGTATAGATGATGATTGATGATTTTGATATTCTATTTATTTAATGGTGTGTCTTGGTGATAGCTCTCATTAATTATATGATAAAATTCTTAATATTTAATAATTTCTTATTTAATTTTATAGAAATATTTAGAAATTCCTTTAATCTAGAAAAAATGAGATTAAACTTATTTATGTGGTTATATTGTTAATTTCTAAAAATTACAGCTGAAATTGACTAGAAAATATTTTGATAGGTTTTTCCAATGATTAATATTATTATCAAAATGTTTCTATGTTAATTGCATTTATTTCTGAATTTTTCCTGAGTTTTCTTGATTTTTCCTCAACTTATTATGATAAATAAAAATAATATAATAATAAAATTAAAATATGATACTAATTTTTTTAGGTTTTCCACATCAGTGACAGATGTAACAAATATAGCGAGAAGTTTGACAGATGATTCAAGGAAATCAATGTAATTAATGCACAAGATGATGAAAAAATGCTGGAGGAGGAAGAAGGGGGTATCTTCGATCAATCTGTCATGCTACACAACCATTTTTGCTTTCCTCCGGTGGCGACGAATGCCAGATTTGCCCAAATCATCTATCCAATATAAGTGATAGATTTCTTCTTGACTTCTCCCTGATTCAGTTGCTATAGAAGCTAAACTTCATCCATGAACTCATCCCATTTTTCGCCTGACACAAATGGCGAAGAATTTCTTCTGAGAATCCTTCTCTGAACACCGTGGCATGCTCAGAGTTGAACCACCACTGTCAACCGGTTCTAGCAAGTGACAATTATTGGGATTGTCATTCATCGATTGGAGATTGTGTAGGAATCCATTTGGTGCACCGTGCTTGCACAAATCAATCGAATTCAGGTGAAAATTCGATTGTCGACCATTCTGCCCATTCTTTCATAAAACTTGAATCTTTGCATGATTTTACTTTATTTTCATTTATAAAAAGTTCCATTCACTTCTACATTGTGTTAGAACAATTCTTCTTTTCAAATCAAAGTTTATTTCTAAGTATTTTGGTTTTGA